AGCTGTACACAAAGCTGTGTAGAAGCTTCTGCTGGTCCATCATGTTTGCCTGCTGACACAAATGAAAGGATTGAACTCCATGTATGTTACCAGATAGCAGCCCTGTTAAGAGAGTTACTGTACCATGGCCCTCCAACAGCTAATATTGTTGCCCCATCTGTGTGCTATGTTTGAAGACAAACCAAAGCACAGGGGAGAAGAGGGTGGGCTTTTTACCACTTGATTTAAGATATTTTTTTCTGTTCATATCTATTTTTGCTCTTTTGGTATTAGGGGAGCTTGACAATTTTTTTCAAGGGGTGGGGCACCCCTCAATCCAATTACAACTGCTATATATAGCATCCTATTCCTAACTTTTAGGGATCCCCCAGAAGAATGTATGAATGCCGGACTGTCGGACAACTTACACAATATGGAAGAAAGGGAAACCACGAATTGTATAATCAACAACAAGTTTATTTGAAGGAAAAATTCGATATGAAACATACAACTATGCAATGTAGTTACGAAACATTTGGCTATTTACAACACTGATTATAAAAAGTGGGTAATGAACACAGTACAAGCTAACTTGATTAAGACTTTTGTCGTTCAATTCATTAAATTGATGTTAAATTGTCAGTCTGTTATATTTTAAAATAATGAGATCAATTTATTACAACTTATAAGTTATCTATCAGCTTTTATTAATCAAATTATTAATTTCTATTTATGTAATATTTTTCAATTTATTTACTAACAGGTTAGTAAACAGAGCATTAAGATCAATTTTGTAGGGCATCAAACTATCCAATTAAATTAATTAAATTGTTAAATTATTATTGAGTTATTCGTTAATAATCACTTGGTAATTATACATCAATTATTAATTACTCAACTTACTTATTGTACATGTATTAATTAGTATATATTAATCAATACAGCTATTGAGTTAAAGCATTGAATTAATATTCTATGCTTTTATGTCATTTCATTTTGAATATTTTTTAAAAACAGACGACAGACAGACGCATGACAGATGCATGAAATTATGTACGGATCTGTTTTTGTCTCAAATCCATCTCACAAATTATATAATTTGCTGCCAGATAGGCTTTTTTCAGCTTACAATACTAGACACCAGTGCGTTTTTAACATGCTGTGCTTTCGCACTGACTGTTTCAAATTTTCATTTATCCTGGCTATGTGTGCGTGTGCCAACCTAGATTTTTAGCTATTCCACTGCTGTATATTAGCTATATTAGTTATACTAGTAATTTTATTTAGGTCTTAGCATTTTTGTAATAGGTAGTCTTATATAGTCTTATATAATCAATGATTGTGAAAAGCACGCAATTCAGCCTATGGCTGCAATGTATTTTATTTGATAATAGACTATATCTATCTATCTATCTATCTATCTATCTATCTATCTATCTATCTAAAAGTGGAAAAAGATATCCACTTAAGAGATCACAAAGAGTTAAGAAGGAAGCAGGGAAAATTTCCAACAATGATAAGCCAATATTTCCAATACACTATGAACTCAAAACCCATGAAAATCTTGTGAACTAATTCATTGTAAATTCACAGATTTTTCACAGGATTTTCATGGTTAAATAAATGACATTTTCATGGTCTCAGTGCCATGAAAAATACCTGAACAATCCCATGAAAAACCTGTGAAAATTTCCATATTCACGACCCATGAAATATTGAGTAAAGTGACCTAGAAGCCATGAAATACCCATGAAAATGGCATTTCATGGCCTTTTCAAAGGTACTGAGAAACCCATGAATTTCAAGCCCAAAATTTCATGGTGTCAAAGTTCACTAGTTTTTAATGGGTTGCAGCAAATCATGACCCATGAATATCCTGTGAATATGTAAAAAATTCATTGACCATGAAAATTTTCCTTGAATTTTCATGGCCTCTACATGGTTTTTTCATGGCACATGAAAGTTAATTGCCAGTTAGTTTTCATGGGGTTGTTAGGAATATGCAAGCACCATGAAAATTTTTTGGAAACCCTATGAATTTGGAATTAAAAATTCTTCACTTTTCTTGTAACAAAGACTGTACTACAGTGTATAGCTTGCAGTATACCATAACTGTAATACATACACTATCACTTAAATTATACACTGAAGAACTAACCTATTTGTGAAACTTCTTGGTCCTGTTGTACAAGCACACACACACACATGAAAGACATGACCAGAAGTCTGGATTCTCTGATAGTTTATTTTGTTTCACCAGCTGTTCATAAATATTACCTTAGGATTCCAAAATTGTGATAATTCAGTTTACACTTTCTTAAATAAAAAAAGTTGGTATGAAATTTTCTGCATAAAATTAAGATGTTAATGATTTTTAGCTCTATTTTGATATCACTGATTTTCCTTGTGGAGACAGATTCTGCTCCTATATTTCTGTTTATTTAAACTATTTTGAAGGTATATTATAAATAAATTTGATGTGAAAAATATTTGGAGGAAATTATTGAAAATATACTTACTGGTTTGATGTATTTTTGTCTAAACTTCAAATATCATTTCCGTCGTCTAATATCATGTGTAAAATGTTATGGACAGTTATTATAATGTCTATTTATGTAACAGCATTCATGTAAATTTCTTGATATGTTTTACACTTGTGATCAATACTCTTAAGGTAACTAACAACAAAACAATTACCAACTTTCTGCACTCTTGCATGTGTGAAGATATATCTATGGCTGACTATGTCAATGTGTCTCTGTTTTGACCACCTGAATGTGCCATCCTTCTTTCGGTTATCATTACTATTTGCATCTTCATCATCATTTGGACCAAGATAGGCTGCTTTAGCAAGTTTGCATTTCCTTTCATCAGTTTTGTAGACCAACACTCACTGTTTGCAAAATAAAGGGAGCACATCATCAGTTATCTAAGAGCGTTTCTTATGTATGTAGTAAACCTAGAAATGGATAACTTGCCAAAACAGGTTCTTTTCAACATGAAGCCGTCAGATGCTAAGCGACGCACTGTGGAAGTGAGGTGAGGTATTTCATATTCAGAATTTGACTGTATTTTTTATTCCTAAGAACAGTCGTAAGTATTTCCATACAAACTCTTGTAATGTTTCGCCAGATGATCACAGAATAAAAATTTTCAAGTTAAATCAATAGTTAGCGCGCGCGCTCCGATGTTTACGTGTAATAAGATGACCAAGCTTGAACTTACCCCTTCACGTTGTAATGCATATTGATAACTTCATCTTGAGGAAACCTCTTTGAAAAAACTTTTCAGACGGTCCATTGCGTTGATCTGGAAAAAAAGAGATTGCTACACAAACACTACGAGAAATGTAATTGGAATGGAACCATTCCGTACCATTCCGTACGAAAAAAGCCGCCACTTCTTCGTAAATCACGTGTACTTTCACGTGGTGACCTTAGGTCATCGCAGCCATCATAGGTCAGCGGTCACATAGTGACCTCACAGGTTATCGTGTTCGACGTTATGAAATGACTCCAGAGAGGTCTCGTTGCTGCGTCTGTAATCTTACAAAATAAAGCAGCACAAAAAGCTGTTCGGCATTTGGAATTTGAAGCAAGTAACAGTCGACAGGACATCAGAGTCCGAGAAAGTCAGAGCTGACATCGACAGTGATTCCTGTGAAAGCGATCACGAAATCAACACCGATGTTGTAGAAGGCGATCTCAATGAATACATGAAGGTAACGTTTCATCCCGACTGAGAAGATGGCCTGACTCTGTTAACTGGCGACTCTATGAACGAGGTAAAAATAACATTTTTTTTCAGGTTACATTTGCACACTATTCAAAGTTCCAAATTGAGGTGACAAAGTGATTGATTTTTCATTGTTTTGTTCCACATTTCGTGTAGATGCAACAGAAAAAAGCCCATTTTTGAAATAAACTACTCTAATAATTTAAGCATATAACTAGAATGCATAAGGACTGAAGTTTAAAAAATCATCAGGACTAAATGCAGATCCACCGTTTGGTACTGAGGGGGGCCCAAAGTAAGCAACTCTCAAAAGATTCATTTTCCAGTATAGTGAATGCAATAATCTTTTAACCATAATTCAAACAACTGAGTTTAATGAAGATAATATGTAACATTAAAGTTTTAGTTTGACCAAAGTTCTTCAGTAAAAACCAAAGTATTTTCAAATTACATTTTCATAAAAAATGGTAACTGTCAGAACTATTGACATGGACGTTACATAACGTCTATGAAGTAACTTCCATGAAGTTTAAAGGAATTTTTTCTCTCACAGCTGTTTTCTAAGCCCGATATAAAAACTAACAAAATTTGATTTTAAATTTGTCACACTTCATGGATGTTACATCATCATGACAATAAATGCAGGAAGCTCAGTAATAATCACCCAAAAAGCCTGGTTCTAATATTAATTTGTTATACAACAATGAAAGGAATATTATTATGGAGTTAAAGAAAGTACCCAGAATCTTATTGGATGCGACAACAATGAATTATTATAAGGGGAACCAAATATTAAATAGTCAACAATGTCAAGTGTAAGTTATTTCATCTTTTAAAGTGAACATATTGAAATAATGGTCAATATAGCTCTGTGGAAACTTGTAAATTGCTTTCAGTCTCTAAAGTTTGAGAATAATGTGGAACTGAAAAAAACCATGCATAAATACTCTTAACAATACACCAAGTGTAACATCTTCGAATCGAATTTAATCAGAAGAACTGTGTCGAGCACATGGTACTTCAAAAGCATGTGCTCCTACAAGGTCACGTGATATATAAAAATGATTAAGTCATTACATCCCTTTCTTCCCTAGAAATATAAACAAAGAGTAAAACTATAAACGGTCATAAAGAAAATCGTTCATAGAGTCCTTGGTACAAAATAAGCAAACATTATGTCCATGTGAATAGTTCTTGAAGTGTTCAATGTCTCTATAACTTCAATCTGTCAGGTGGTTTGCGAATCCTCTGCAGATAACGCCTTGGTGAATCTTCCTGGAAATCAGTACTTCCTGATTCGACTTCTGTGTCCATCTCAACTTTGACCAGAACTTTGCTTCGACTTGGACTTTGCTCGCTGTAGCATAAGACCATATGGACCTGTTTTCTGACTGGCTTCCACATTTTATTCCATTCAATTGGAGTTGCTTCCATAGTTGATGGTCGATTACATGGCAAGAAGCTCCAGAGTCTATTAACATGTCAACTTCTTGACCTCCAATGGTAAGCTTCACTTCCGGCTCGTCTTCAAGGGAGAGCTCAATTGCAAAGATTTCGTCATCCAGGCTTTCATTATCTTCCACACTGAAGACTTTTGTCTGGTAGTTGTTCTTGCTCCTGCAAACTTTAGCAAAGTGTCCGACGTGACCACACTTCCTACACCTCCCTTTCTTTGCTGGGCAACATTCATCCTCAGATATGTGTCCCTTGTTTCTGCATTTCCAAAATTTTCTCTCTTTTTCCGTTTTGGTGGGTTGCCTGTGGTGAGCAGTGTCACGTGATCAGCCGGCCATCTTTGAATTACGAGTAGCAGATTTCGCATCAATTTTGTTGACATTGGCTTGCATTTCACTTGCTTGTTGAGTAACAGCTTCATAACAACTAGCCATATGTAGAGCAACATCTAAAGACAACTTGTTACCTCTTTCCAAAAGCTTTAGTCACAGTCTTGACAATAAACAACCTTCGATGAGTTGATCTCTCACTTGTATATTCCTTGTATCGCCGAAACCAGAGAAATCAGCTTGTCTTCTCAATCGGGACACGAAATGGGCGGTCGATTCAGATGATTCTTGACGCATTGAACGAAATTTATGCCGTTCAAAGGGCTGGTTTATGTTTCCTGCAAAGTAGCGATCCAGCTTTGCAATCGCAATATCATAAGCAGTTGGATCATCCAGTAATTGATTTTCTGGCGGTTCTGGAAGAGTTTCATAGACCTTTTGAAGTTTCCTACCAGCTGTATGTATGAGTGTCGCTTCTTTTTGCTCTGGGTCTGTGATTTTTTTAAGCCTTTATCATATAACTAGCAGACGATATCCATTGAGCCATCTTGCCGCTAAACTTGACTTCTTGGCGTCTATGTCGAAAGGCTCAATTTCACCACCAAAATTTGCAATTGTAGCCATAATTCCTTCCTGATTTGACAGAGTAAACGGTGGAGAATCCTTGATATCCTCGTTGCCAATGTAACATCTTCAAATTGAATTTAATCAGGAGAACTGTGTCGAGCACATGGTACTACAAAAGCATGTGCTCCTACAAGGTCACGTGATATATAAAAATGATTTAGTCATTACACCAAGTATCAAACTTATCCAGTTTTCATCGATGCTAAAAAAGTGGTTGAAACAAGGCAGTTCATAGTTTTAAACACCTTTTCAACAAGGAGCTTTTTGGAATTTTAAATCAAGGGATAAAAGAATATTCACATGCAAAGATCAGCTTGATGATGAGTCACAAACATTTACTCCTTTGACTTTGTTTTTTTGTTTGTTTGTTTTTTCATCAAAACCTTGAATACCTTCTCCACAACTGCTTGTTTCTCAATTTTGAATGGTCCATTGTATTGGAGATTGACAGGACTGAAGAAAATGCAAGATATTTAGGGTATAGGGTTAGTCATCCCTTTCTGGCCAATCAAATGTGTTTGCACCAACTTTGTGAAGAAACTTGATTTTTACAAATAGCGCACTTGCTTCAAGCACTCTACCATCTCTGGGCGAGAACCCTGTTGGTGGTATAGAGTGCAGAACTTTGTCATGGTGTCCCAAGGTCATGGCTTTCCTGAATTCTTGAATACTGCTTTGGGTCAGCATCTTACTACTGGCTAAACATGTGGCATACAGGCATACAATAACACCACAATCAAAGTCATTATGCTGTTGTGGAATCTCCTTTGCTTTACTGGAGTAAAACTCCCTCTGGCTAACATCAATAGTATTGTCAACATCAACCAGAAATGACATCATCTTCTTAGCTGACTGGAAAGCAGTTGATTTAACAAAATCCCCACTCTTGCTGTCAAGTACTAGAATGCACTTCTTGCTTGGAAACACAGCAAGGAAGTACCAGTGCAATGAATGTTGGTTAAGTGGAACAAAAATCATGTCCTTCTCAAGAAGTGGACCTTTGCCTTTTGTGACTTTGGAGACAATGGCATAGGAATTACAAATGGCCTTGTTTTCACCAGTTTTGGCCCAGATCGCCACAGGGAAGTGAGTCACTTGTTCTTGACTCCAGCAGGCTGGTTGAATTTCATCTTGTTGAAAGCAAGTGTAATTATCTGCAAAATCAATCTGAACAACTGCCTCTTTGACATTAGGATTTTGGACTTTCTCCTGGAAAAATTTGGTCTGTTTTCTATGGATGAAGACGTGCTGCAAATAATGAGGCGTCTTCTTCATTAGGGATGTTATAGCCTCCTCAATTATGCTCTCTTTAAGGACCTTCAGCATCCTTGTAACCTAGCTGTTGCTGACCTTTTCATCGTTTCCCTGGCATGGTGTGTGTTACTCCTTCTCACTGACACCAACTCATTGTTTCATGCAGAGGTGCATCTGCTGTAATTTCTAGTAGCCACTCATTGGGGCATTTTGCACATTTCCCTGTCATGCAGAACTCACTTGTGCTGTCACACACAAAGTTATCAACTAATGCTTCAGAGTAAGGAGGAAGGGCTTGAATTTCCTAGGCAATATATTCACACAGCATCCTGATGTTCTCATGGTATTGGCAAAGGCAGGCATCCCTGGGTATAGCAGAGGAGAGCAATACATTGACGGGCCTAAGGGAACAGAAGTTACTGAGACTTATCTTAATTTCAGGGTGCTCTTTCAGAAATAACTGGTATACTTCTTTGAGGAATCACATAATGTGACATTTCTGTAACTTCATCTTCTTCCCTTCTGACGGTACTGAAACATAATCTTTCCAGCCACATGCTTGTTGTGAAATTGAGTCAAGGTGAAAAAAATTGTGAACATACTTAACACTTGACTTTGTGAGTTGCTTATTTCCATTTCTGCATGAGTTTGGGCTGCTATGATGAAATGCCATCTGCAGACTTTGCCAGTTTAGATATCACTGCTCTTTTCTTTCTTGGACTGTTTGGCAGAACTTGTTTCACCCTGCTCAGAGCTTTCCTTAGAGCCTGAGGAGTCTCGTAAACTTTTCCTTCATCAGCACTGCTAGTGGGTATGTTTGGAACTGACAGAGACTTTTTTTTTTTCAGTTTGTGTAAGCGAACCCTTTCCCTGCACTCTCTTTTCTTCTTTGCTCATTCAGCTGGACTTAACACTTTAGCCTTTCTTTCTGTGGCTTCCTCTGAACATCACACTTGCCAGGTCCAAAGGAGTTTCGACAATAAAAATACTACCATAACTACCGTTATTCGCAAGATCAACACTTTAATCTTCAGATAACAACTTAAGTTCTCCTTTACAAATGCAGATGGTCAGAGGTTTGCTCTGATGGAAAACTGCGCATCACACTTGTGATGAGACGAAAACATGGCCGCCCTCGTGGTTTAGCAGTCACCTGGCAAATTGGCGACAACTGCTGACCTTACTAATCGCTTACTACAGTACTGCTGTAGTAACATTTTCTTTTTTCTCTGTTTGTCCTTCTCTAGATAAACTTGGTATCTCTGGATCTGCCTTAAGCTTTTTAAAATAATAACTCCGTTTTTCAGGATTAGGCATTATCTTGTAAGTCTTTTAGTTCATTGAAACTGCAAACAACTTGGAAAATGCATAATCCAGCAACTGTTGTTGTCTGAGCATGCTCAAAACACTTTCCCCATACAGAGCACGCTTCAAGGTGAGTACTGCTGACTAGAAACACTATTTGCAATATTTCAGGTGAAAACAGGGAAAGATAATGCTAATTTCAAAACTAATGGACAGTTTTCTAATGTTTGTGGAAAAGAAAGAAGGAACAGATAATTTATATATTTGACATCGCTAATTTCTTTATCTTTTTCACACACTGTAATGTCCATGATCAGGAATGCAATGTCCATGACAATGTTTTATTATCTAATGAAGAAGACACACACCACAAAAAATATTGATTAGTATGTAATTGTAGTATCACTATTTACCTAAAAAACAAAATCATTTATTTTTAAGTTATACTTTCAGAATTCACAGGAATTGAATGTTAAACATTTGTGCTTAAGAACATGGTTGATTTGGTTGTAACATCCATGACAGCTCTATTTATTTAAATATAATTTTTTGCTTAAAGGAAATTTGAGTTTCCCACTAAACATGCAACTAGCACCTATCTGTCATAATCAAAGTACAAGGGAATGATTGTTTCTTATTTTGTGTCTGTTCTAATGATTTTTCTCTAACCACACTTGTGCAAATGTAACGTCCTTGATCATGGAATGACCCAAATGTGTCATTTAGAGTATCATATCTGTTTGTGACCATTTTTCCAAGACAATTAGCTTCAAGCACCTGACACTTGCAATCACTAAAGAAATCCGCAAATACTTATTGTTGGCAATATGTGGAATTTAAGTAAGGAACACTAAAGTATTTTTAATTCAATTTCGTCATTACTTTGCAGACTTATCAGTAGTGTTGGTCTTGATGAGTTCTCTGAGGAGCTTCACGTAACAGAAAGAATGTCATCATTTTCTTGAATTTAAAGGAAAGAGTGGTGTTTGCCTCATCAAGGGGTGCTCATTGAGAGGGACTATGCTCAAGAGATTGGATAACCATCTCTTTAAGTACTACAAAGGTGTTATTAGAGGATTGACTTATCACCAGCCACAAATTCGTGGTTTGGAATATTTGCCAAAGCCTGGACTTGCTTGTGTCCTGGATGTCACAAAGAGATCATCCTTCTCTCTCAACACCCTAAAATTAGTCATTCCATACATTTGAGTATGTATCATTCCAAGGTTGGAACAAATAAAAAAGGAGGAAGAACAGAAATCATTCACCACACCAATAATGTTGATCACAATGAACATGAAGAGAGAAAGGAATCAGAATGGAAAAAGAATGGAGAAAGTGAAGTGCTTGGAGAAGAAAGTAATTGCATCAGCTCCAGGGATGACACTAATTATATTGAGCATGTTATCACAGGATTGTGTTCAAGTTCAAATACATAAGAATTGCTTGTTGATTGACCCCTGCATATGTCAATGTGATGATGGGCCTTTGTGATATCTAATACACAACACCTCATCCGATGGGACTTTTTTTTTTCAACAGCTTCCAAGAAATTGAAATGAAGGTTGCTTGGATTTGCCCAGTTGGGAGTTTGTCAGGTAATGTTAAGGGAAATGCCACTTTCCACCTTTCAAGATATCTGCTAACACCATAAGTATTCAACCGGCTTTTTATAGGATGAGGAGGCATGATCTCTACCTAGACAAGGGTGCCTTACATGTGGTGCAATATAAAGAGAGGGCCGTGAATGATCTGTTCATTTAGAGACATTAGATGTCTTTTGCTGACACCAGTCTTCAAAGGCATGTAGCTGCAAAAAGTGTATTAATTTTGATGGTAATTGTGTCCAATGTTTGTTTTGATTTCTTCCACAGTTACAGATGCCAGGAGGATAACAAAACATCCACCCTACCCATAGATGTTGATTTCAGTCTCTTTCAGTCTTCTCCTCTATGATTTTGATTAGAGTCAGATTACCATAGAATGTGGTTTAAATTCTCCCATAAACAATTTTCTCTGTAAATGAATGTGTGAGAAATATCACTGATTGAGTTCAGATGTAGGACTGATGTATGAACATTCATCATTCCTTCTTTTAGAGGTCCACTTACATGGAGGGGAAGGAAGACTTTTTGAAGCGGCTATGGTTGGGGTTGTACCTTAGTAATCTTGTATGTTACTTACAACAATTGCAACAAACAGTATCTTACATATTTTTTTCTTCCTTATTAATCCCTCTCAACCTTTCATATTTTGAGATTGATGAAGTTTATTTATAACAGAACATGCTTAGGCAGAACTGTAACCACTCTAGTTCTGCAACCATCAATTTTTGTGAGAAAAGTCAAAGTATTATTGCTGGTACTATTATCATGTATATTTACAACACATAACTGAAAACAGAAACATAGATCTGCTTAGCAATCCATATGCCCTATTACCAAGGGTATTCGGACATTACAGCAAGTCACCTCTACAACAGCAATGAGTGATACCACTTTCTTGCTTTGAATCATACTCGATTACAATTTGGTTATGGTGGTTTGAAATAAGAACTAATTCCTCAAAGACTATCCTCATAATACCATTCTCTTAATGGATTGATAGTGATTCAAAATACTGCTGAGTTTTAAAACTTTGACTTGATACACAACATAGGAAATGACGAGAATGAAATATTTTGCAATTAAGAACAGTTGAACAATTTCTTTCAGAAAAAAACAATGCTAGATGCACTAAAAGGGACAAGGATAATCATTTTTGTGTCATGTTACGTCATCTTCCGACCCTCAGAATACAGCTTTTTGGTGACAATTAGATGATTCATGTGGTCACCTTACTTTGCTGTTGTATTATTAACTTGCTAACTCCAATATGAAATCTCTCAGGATGAATGCGGAGACCTTGCATTTTTATCAGTGACATGTGTTGCATACTTGTCTTTAAAATTGCCTTTGAATTCCCAAGTTCACTCAAAAATTGATCATTATTTGCCCTTCCTGTCCCTTTAAAGTTTAGCATGATATGGTGCCAACTGATCCATTCAGAAGACTTGCTTGGTAAGTAAGTAAGTAAGTAAAGCCTTTATTTAAAGAGGGTGGCACTTAATAGCCAAAGGCTAATAAACTTGTGGCCCTGAAACCTTGCTTGGTATAAGAATTGTTTAGGAAAAGCAAAAAACTCTCCTTCCTCCAAAAATGAGTTTCACCTGGATTACCAATAAATGGTGCCATAACATTGGACTTTGCTGTTGTTAGTAGCACACAAACATGATCTGTTGGTGCTCTCTTGCCATGAATTTCTTGTCAATTTTCCTCTAAATGGCCAGCTGCCATGACAGCTGAGTCACGTCTGTACACCACCATCATTGTTGAAATGGAGAAAACAGAATATAAGAACAATAAATAAAATGCAACCAACAGGGATTTCCTAGTATACTATTATTAGATCAACTTTACATGTAGATGTACAAAGGTCTAAAGAAAATCACAGTTTTTTATGAAAGCATCAGAGTCTTACAAAAACCAGTATTAAAGTTAATTCCGTGTCATTTGTCTTTAAAACAATACCTCTATGCATTTATTGTGACTTGTACTTTCTTTGTTTTTTTGTTTTTGTTTTTTTAACAGCTTTATTGACCATTACACGTTACATACAGCAAATTAAACAGCCAAGAAAAAAAATTAAATATATGTGCAAAGTGATTTAAAGTGATAAGGTCAAAAGGGAAGGTGCGAACAGGACGCGAGGACCCATATGAGGCACCTCCCATGGTACAAATAATAATTAAAACACAATAAAGCAAAAGACACCAAATTTAAAAGACGCTGAAAAAACTAGGGATGGCAGGGGCAGGATCGTACAATTGACCAGGTACAGGGATAGGATATGTCAAAGTGATTGTGCAAAAGGTGAAACATGTGCTCAGTAACAAAGTTGCGGAAGGAAGCAGTAGTTGAAAAACTGGTAGGGGGTGAAAATTTACAGATATAGTTCCAGAGCTTAACAATATGATGAAAGTAAGAGGCCTGAAAAGTGCTAGTTTTACATACAGGAGTTTTAAGGTTATAAGAATTACTTAGTCTGGTTCGGCCGTGAAAAACAGGAGAAACAAAATCATAAACATTAAGATCAGTAAAACCATTCTAACTTGTTGGCCTTAGCAGTAATGGCATGGATATGTGTGTTCCAGGTGAGGGAGTTGGTGATGCTAACTCCAACGTCCTTCTCTGTGGACACACGCTGGAGCTCTAAATTATCAAGCTTGTAAATGAAGTCTAGTGGGCTCTTTTTTCAAGTGATCGTTAGCGCCTTGCATTTAGAAGCATTGAACTGGATATTGTTGTGCCGGGTCCACGTGTGCATGTTGGTCAAGGTTTTCTGCATAGACATGCAGTCATCGACGGTATTGATGTTGTGATATATTTTTGGTATTGTCAGCATAAAGGGAAGTGAAAACATCACCTATGGCTGCATCTGGGAGGTCGTTAATAAATATTATGAACAGCAGAGGCCCCAAAAGGCTGCCTTGGGGGACCCCAGAAGTGACAGGGGCCCATTGCGAAGTTGTGCCATCGATAACATCTCGTTGGAGTTGGCCAGATAGGTAGTTAGCGAACCAGGTTAGAAGCTGACCTGACACCCCGTAGGCTTTTAACTTAGGAAGAAGGATGTTATGATCTACAGTGTCAAACACCTTGGCAAAGTCAAGGTAAATTACGTCCATCTGGATGTTTTTATCCAGGTTTCGGCCGATGGTATGAAGAATAGATAGTAACTTGGTGACACATGAGTGATTCCTTAGGAACCTGTGTTGTAAAGGGGTAATTAAGTTATTAACATGATCATACAGGCAATTAAAAACGCAGCATTCCAGGACTTTGCTGACAATCGGAAGAAGTGATATGGGTCGGTAATTTGCAGCAGGCTCTTTTGAGTCTTTCTTGTGAATGGGTGTTATGTCTGCGGATTTCCACTCTTTAGGAATTTGGCCGCTACTAAGAGACTGATTAAAGATTCCACAGAGACTCAGAGCAATTTGTTGGCTACATTCTTTTAGTAGGTGCGCTGGAATGCCGTCGGGTCCACAAGCTTTTGAGGTGTCAAGCCCAATCAGGTGCTTTGTCACATCATCAACTGACACCTGTATTTGAGAAATTTCCATTTCTGTTCTAAGTGAATTGTTCGTTGGATCTATGTTTACATCTGGAGTAGCCGATAGAAAAACAAAACAGAAATATTTATTTAAGAGTTCAGCTTTCTGCGCCGGTTTTGTAGCCACCTCACCATCGTAACAGATGGCTGAGTTAGTGCATGAGCATCTGCCCATGAACACTTTGTGGTAGCTCCAGAACTCTTTCGGGTTGTCTTTGAAAGATGCTTTGATTTTGGCTAAGTATTGCCGGTGTTTTGACCGTACTAGGTATGTTTTGACTTAGTTTGCAGAGCTTCAGCTTCCGCTCTGGCAATTTGTTCAAGTGAAATTTCTTTAAGGCTGCATATTTTTTACGGATCAGATGTCAAACTTCACCGTCAATCCAAGGTGGAGAATTCCTGTCGCCAACTGTTTTGATAGGGATATGTTCTTTTACAGCAGCTAAAAACAGGTCCTTCCAGTTCGACCAGTGTTTGTTCACGTCGGCCAAGGTAGCAACATCAAACAGGAGATGGGTGAGAGAATCCCGTAAGCCATCAAAGTTACTGCTCTTGAAGTCATAGAACTGGCGAGTCACCCTCTTTGCTCGTTTAAACTTTAGTATAATCTCAAATTCAACAACATAATGGTCAGAGGGAAACAAACCAACCCTTGGATGGAAAGACCAAACACTTTCAATGACTTCAAGCCAGTTGCAGAGCAGTAGATCTAGTTTGTTGCTGGCCAGATGCGTAGGTCCAGGGATAAACTGCTGGAGAAAGTTTTCACCTATCAGGTCACAAAATATGTTATGATCCGCGTAACTTCCATTGTTCATTGGAGCAGTTTGATCGCCAGTCCAGTCAAGTTCAGGTAGATTGAAATCCCCAAGCTTGATGATACATGCGGATTCACAGTTGTCACATAGTGAGGAGTTTAATTTGAGGATAGGATCAGGCGATGTATTGGGGTGATAGAAGCAATGAAGCAGTACTGATTTTTCGTGGCATCTCGGTATCTTCCCTCTCTAAATCCAATCGTCTAGAAGCTTGAATATTTCCTTTGACAGCCACAATTACTCCCCCACCAAGATCCTCTCTATCTCGGCAAAAGATAGAATATCCTGGAATGATTTCACTGTCTATAACAGATTCATTGAGCCAAGTCTCACAGATTCTGACTACATCGAAGTTGCCACTGTAAACAAGCTCCTGAAGTATGGTAATTTTGCAAATCCTTCAACATACCCTGAGTCAAAATTCTTACGGGAATAAATATCTTAGATGTCCTTCGTAAGGTTGGTGTTTTTATCACGACAAGGTCGGTGAAGTTCTGGGGTACATAAGATGCCCAGCAGGTTAGAAAAACTACGAGAGAGCAGAGACCACGTGTGGCGGCCATCTTGCCTACTAACTTTATGACTACAGTGTAGAAAAACAAACAATTCAAACAAACCATTATTTGGTGAACTGGAAGCTAATGCTGTCCCAACTGTTCTGTCTTGCACTCTGTCTAATGTTCCACCTTCTGTACATTCAGACTCTGTATCTGAGAATAAGGTTACCGTAATTAGATTTTTCGAAATCCAGTCGTGGTGCTCCAACAAAAACTAGAAAAAAACAAAGCAAAAACAAAACAAAAACAAGCCAAAAAACAGCTTGCATTGCAAATGAAACCAACCCCAGTTCACAACATCTGCAAAACAGGCATTGCCTTGTTCTGGATTCTACAAATTACCAAAAGTGCCCTTACACTTCCCTTTGACCTGATTGGCTATCTTGGCAAATCAAATGATGAGTTTTCCCAAAAGGCTATTCATGGTGCATACTCAAATTTTGTTACATAGGTCAAGGATGACTTTGCAGCAGAACACACAGGGCCTGTGAGATGTTTTCTGAGTGTTAGAAAAAATTTAATTTTTAAATTTTTTACTACCATTGAAGAAAGTATGTTAATTTTTTTTTAAGAGTAAGTAAAACCTCTATGACTATTTGGTTTCCCTAACTTCCCAAACTACAACTGACAGTGCACCCTGAACATTGTACTGATATCATGAAACAAAATGAGTAGCATAAGGACCCTTTCTGATTCCACTCGCTAATAATTTGTTACCTTAATTATCGTTAATGGGACATCAATTTGAAGATTTCATGGAATCTGTGGTACAATGGCAAAATTTTATACACATGCAATAACTAAATTGTCACATATAATTTTTAAAGAAAGAACTTAAACCTAAAATGTTACCTTTGTAGGCACTTTTGCATGAGTTGTTACAATGCCTACAAATAAACATTACAAACCATTATTTGGGGAACTGGATTCCAATGCTGCTCAGCTGTTCTGTCTAGCACTCTATCTAGTGTAGTTATATTGTACCTAATGTTGTAAATGGTGCTTAATAGGAACCAAAAAAAGGAACCTTAAATAAACCAAACAAAAGTAAAAACAAACAAACAAGCATAAACAACAACAAAACAAACTTGTGTTCCAGAGAGTAGCTGGGACTGCAGGTAACACCTCATTTGACATTGGGAGTTTCACAATTGCTAGAACTTTCAGAGTGATTAAATTGTTGTAAAACCTGACTAGATGCACTCTAATATTTAAAATATTTTGGATGCATTAAATTCAAATGCCTTGGAACAAACAGTTCAACTACCTTCCTGTGAAGAGGTAGGCAGTTCACTTGTCAAGTCATCAGAGGTGGACCCAGTTGTCAAACATGAATTGCCAGATACTGAATAGGTAAGGTAAGGTTAGGTAAGACTTTATTTAATGAGTGTAACATTCAACAGTAATAAAACTGATAACGTAATGGTTAAAAAAAAAGAACAAAACAAAACAAACTAATAGCAATAGTTGTAACAATATTAATAGTAATTAAAATAGTGTACAAGCCTTTGTTTATTGCAAAATAAGATTACAACATGTGGTTATATACAGGTTTTAAAATTTACATGAATAATTGTGTAGGGATTTGATTGTTTAAATTTATTTTACAAAGGGAACGCTTGAAGTTTTGGATACTAGTACTCTGTTTGAGGTCCACACTAAGTTTGCTCCATTCCTTTGTTGCTCTCACTGCAAATGTTCGACGACCTTCCTTCTCTTACACTAAGGGCAACTTAAGTTAAAATTACAGAAACAGGTTGATCTATTGTGTGTCAGAGTAAATCATTTACATATTCAGGGGTATTGCCATTCAGCCTTTTGTAAGTTAAAGTGCATCGATCTACATATGCTTCAGCAGAAAAGGAATCCACTTGAGGGAGTTAAATAAGCTGACAGAGGGTGTTGTTCTTTTGGCATCAAGAATTTAGCTGCATGTTTGTTGAAGATGCAGGACTTTAAAATGATTTTCTTAACTGCGAGAAGTCCAAATCATACTGCTGTATAGCATTACAGGTTTAATGATCATAGAGTAGTATATGTCTCGTTGACTGCATTTTAAATCTGGACTTATGTGATGAAGAAATCCAATAAGTTTTGCCAACTTTTTGCATAACCCCTCAATTTGGTGATTAAATGAAAGATCATGATCTAAGATTACCCCTAAAAGTTTGAAATGAGTTACATGTTCAATGTTTCTTCCATTTAAGTTAACATCTATTGTGGTAGAGGTGACAAGGTTCCACAAGCATTTCCCTGTTACCAGCATGGATTTGGTTTTCAGAGAGTTAATAGACATCTTGTTTTGTGCTGACCACTCATCTAAACGTATGAGATCTTGATTTGGAGCGCGTGTCAGATGAGGGACATTTTCCCTGCTAGTGGTTTTTGATAAAGTTGTATCATCAGCATAAACGTCTAGTGTTGAATCACTTATATGTATAGGCATGTCGTTCACAAACAATAGGAAGAGAATAGGTCCTAAGATCGATCCTTAAGGTACTCCTTGTAACAACTGTTTACTGGTGGAACAGCAGCCATTAATACACACATTTTGTTACCTTCCAGTAAGATATGACCCAAACCACTTGTTTCTCCTTAGGTTCCTAAATTTTCTCAGTCCTCTTCCTAAAAAAGTCTAGAGTTCCTATTGAAAAAATCTCGCAAAAAAAAAAAGCCAAAACATCCACACAAGATTTCTTTTCTATGGCGTAAGTGCTCTTCCCCTGAATCTGCAGACTTTATTTTGAAACTGTGATTCAATCTTCCTGCGCGTAACATAATTTTCAGTAAAAATGCACTTCCGGTTCGCTCTTACAAACAATCCTTTTAGAAAAAAGGCACAAGAAATAATCCTTAACACCACTTAAATGATAAATCACTGGCCCCATAAATAGATAGCTTCTTAAGTAAAAGGTCATGATGTATCACATTGAAGGCCTTTCTAAAGTTGACAAAAGCTAAGCCAGTGACCATATCATTATCCACATCAACGGAGCAGTTCATCAGTTAATTTAATCAGTGCCATTTCAGTAGAATGATTTGGTTGAAAAGCTGACTGAAGGTTGTATAGCAAATCGTAGCTATGTAGGTATTTCCAAAGGGATGTTGCAACGTGATGTTCAAGTATCTTCTTGCTTATGTCTTCACGAGGGCCATTTCTGAACGAGGAAGTGACCTGAGTGGTTTTCCATGTTGATGGAAAGGAGCCAGTAGATATGGAAAGATTCATAAGGTGACAAAGGGGGTTGGTTAGAACAGAAGCTGCTACCTTAGAAACCTTCACACTGAGGCCATCACATCCAATCGCTTTACTTGAAGGGATCTTGTTAATGAGATCAAGCATCTGTACCTCAGTAATAGGTGGTATTTTAAAGGAGTGGTTTCCTGACTTGGAGAGCCACATCATCATCTGCAATGTACTGACTACCAGGGATATTCTGAGAAGCAATGTTGATAAAAGTACCATTCATATATTCAGCAATTTCTTGTTTATCTGATATGGCGCCATGCTCGGTAATGAGTTGTCTGATAGTAACTTGGTCTTTCTTAATACCACTTTAAGTCTTGAGTGCCTTCCAGACTACTCTGGGGTTCCCTTTGTTCTTATCTATTGTTTCCTGGAAGAAACATCGTTTTGCATGTTTTACCAAATTTGATGTTTTGCATTTTGCAAAAGTTTGCAAAGACCAGTCCATTGAAAGGTTTGTGCGATGTGCTGTTACCAGCAGACCATCTCTTTCAGGTATCAATTTCAAAATTTCATCATTCATCCAAGAGGGCTGACTTTGCCTCTTCTCACTTGTTTTTCCAGGGCAAATGCTGATTAAGAACCTCTTTGGAAAAAATTCTTTAGAGCATTTAAAATATCGTCAATGTCTTCAAATAGGAAGGCAGTGTCCCAAGGGATACTAGTCATTGTAGAAGCTCCTCAGAATTCAAGTTCTTTGTTTCCTGATACGAAATTGATGTATGTTCTGACTCACAACCTCTTTTTTGTTTGGTGTATTTACACTGATAATGTGATAATGGTCTCACGATTCTGCAGATAAGTGTTCTCAGTGTTCATCACAATCCTGTTATCAATGTCAACATGCAAAGAAGGCAGATGGTATAGAGAACCTACTAAAAGTGATCTTTTTTAATTAAAAGGAAGAATATCCAGTCATAAGGTTTCAATCTCCTTCTCCTCTAATTTAATGCAGTGGTTTTCTTTTAGCCTGAAGTTGACACAAGCTAGAATTCCACCACCCCATTTTACTCCGGGCCTGTCCTTCCTTCACATCACATAGCAAGAAATTTCAAAAACAGAATCTGGTACCTTTGGTTTCAAGGAGGCCTCAATCAAAAAATAGCACGTGAATTTGAGGACAGCTTGAGGTTAAGAAATGTTTTAGCTGTTCAAACTTAGCATCGGTCAATCTGTTTATATTCCACTTGCAGATCTTCAGGCCACCATTCATTTTACTCTGACACTGGGTGTTTATTTGCTTGCTTTCTTGGTGAACATTGGCTTCCTTTGGGCCCAGATTTGCCTCAACATCACCACTTAATATTATTCGTTGTGTGAGGTGGAAATTACAGGTATTGTCCTCAGCATATGGAAAGCGGCTTGGAAGATAATAGGGACCTTTAGCACTAAGAGTTTTCATAGTGGCGGTGACATCGGTGGACAAAAGAGACTGGGGCAAGGACGGCATTGTTCCTGCCAAAATATAAACCTTTAGCACCCTTCATTTTCCGAAAGCAACTTGCCGAGTTCTTTGAATATGATTAAATTTTAGACTTGTCAAGAGATACTTTTGCTTAGCTATGCAGACAACAACATTTCAGACGAAGAATTTGTCCCATTTTATGACTGTTATCGTTCAAAAAATCCAGATTTTGGCTATCAATTGTATGGTGTTTTGGATCTAGAAAACATGAATTCAGCTGACTCCAAGGCCGAATTTCGTGTTGAAAAGGCAGACCTTCCTTGCCTTGCAGATGCCTTGCATATTCCCGCAGTGTTCCATTGCAAACAGAGAAGCATTTGTGATGGTTTGGAGGGACTGTGTGTGCTGCTGAGACAATAAGTTATCCCTGCAGATTCAGCGATATGATTCCACATTTTCCAAGACCAGTTTCTGTTTTGAGTTTAATTAAAAATGGAGTCATGGATTTTATTTATGACAATCACTGTCATCTCGTAATAGAGTGGAATAGGGATGTACTAAGCTCAGTTGCTCTTCAACAGTATTCTGAAACCATTTCAAGGAAAGGATCTCCTCTAAATAACTGCTTCGGTTTCATAGATGGGACGGTCCGACCAATCTCTAGACCTAGAAATGGACAGAGGATTGTGTGTAATGGACACAAACAGGTTCATGGACTAAAACTTCAGTTCATTGCCTTACCGAATGGACTTATAGGAAACATCATTAGGCCAGTAGGTATGAACTTAAATATTTTCACTGAATCTTAATAAGATTAATTACAATGTTATTCATATGGGTTCCCAAGACTTTTTATGAACTTTTGTTTCAGAGGGACGAAAACATGATGCAGGTATGCTTGCTGACTCTGGGCTTTTGAAAGACATGGGGAACTTCGCCTTTTCCCCAGCTGGCCAACCTATGTGCGTTTATGGCGATCCGGCTTATCCCCTCCGGATTCATCTTCAGGCGCCATATCGCCAGGGATGTCTAACCCAACAAATGGAAGATTTTTGATAAAGCACTGAGTGCAGTACGAGTGTCTGTGGAATTGCTTTTCAGGGACATAATTAATTCCTTTAAGTTTTTAGATTAGAAGAAAAATTTAAAGATAGGTCTAAGCAGTGTAGGAAAAATGTATATTTTATGTGCTTTACTGCAAAATGCCATAACTTGTTTATATGGTAATCAGACGTCTGAGTTTTTCGACCTGGAGCCCCTACTCTAGAGGAGTATTTCCAGTAATCAGATCTAAAAGCAAACAAAATAAACATTGAAAACATTTATTCTTCAAAGTGTGTATACTTGTGAACATGGGGCTTCCAATTTATATAATTAGTCCAAGATACAATCTTTAAAAGTTCTGAAATACATGGAAACATTAAGCTTAAATCTTATACAACAACAACATATGTTCTAAATAAAAACATTTTGATAGCTGATTAGTTATCTATTGGCTTTTGCACAACAGTCAAAAGTGCAGTATTCAGCTCCACCTTCTTCTGAATTGCGTTTCTTGGTCTCTTTAAGGCTCTCCATCGCTTTTTTCCGGATATCTTCCGCAGTCTCGTTGTCCTTGAGTTGCTGTTTCAATGCTGATTCAGCCTTTGCTTGTATGACATCATCTCTCTCGACTAACTCCTCGATCAGTGATTCCTTTTCCATTAACTCTTCCACAGAAATCCCATTTGCCTTCTCTTCCTCGCAAACTTTTTTTTGGAGAAGGTTCCACTGCTCTCGTACAGCTTTTTTAACCTTCAGTTGGAATTTTGGAGAGTGGATTTCATTCAGATGATCGACTATCACTTCCCAAGCCAGTCCATGAGCAGGACTTCCTTTCTTTGCTCCAAAAACATTTCTTGCTGGCATTTCTCTCAGAAAAAGCACCGCCAATAGCCACATTACAAACTAATGTACAATGAGGAAGGTCAAGTCTGATTATATAGAAATTGGAATTATATAATCTTGCAAACTTGCTACTGGAAAGCAACATGAGTAAGAGCTGAGATGGAAGGATGCACTTCTCACTGCCAATTCACTTTTATTAATAAACATCCTTAAATTCAAAGGGATAATGTTTACAAAATTAATGCAGCCAATCAGTTTGTTTTTGTTTTGTTTTGGTTTTTTTTTGTCGACTGCAATAAATATATTATGATGATAAAATAGTAACTTGACATTGGTATTCAATAAGTATTATGCTAAAATCAGTTGAAATATTTCTCACATTACCTTAAAAAAGGATCTAAATGTAAAACTGTGGAACATGAATGATGACATTGGTGCTTAGAAAGATTAAATTATGAAAAAAAAAAACAGATATATCATACTGTCAAGATCAACCAAGAAATCAGACTTTTTAATCCCATTTTTCAGATGAGAATACAATTTGGTACCTAACCTGTTTGCCAAATTCATCAATAGAAAGTCCTTTTAATCACAAATAATATATTTTTTGTCTGACCGTTAGGCACCTTTGCCTCACCATTTTGTGTCTGCTTTGAAATTCTTACAATTGTACAATTACTTGTGATGACCTATTTCAATTGGCTCAATTGAGTTTATCCACCCAATGGGCTACCTAATTGTGGTCTTTAGATCTTGTGATCTTAAGCTTACACGAGTACCTGAACATATGGCACTTTCCTTTCCTGGACCACATTAATGTCATACCATAAAAGAGTGGTTTAATTTCATTCCTGTTCACAGGCTACCCAGCATGAACAATGTTTTTGGTACATGCAAAAACAAAGCTTTCTATGTGGTCATCATACAGTAGCTTGTGCCAAAGACCTAGAAACGACCTGACAGTAGGAAGGTATGAAGATGTAATAAAAATGAAGACTACTATTTGTGCTTCATCTTCCAGCAAGACAAGAGGTGGCTTCTCTGAAACAGGCTCCCACGTGTTGTCTTCAGGTGGGATTTCAGATGGTGCCCCAAATCCATGGAAACATACCGTTTCATTAGGGAATGGTGGACTTTCGTCACACTCATGCATCAATAGTGTTGCCTAGTCCACAGTTTCAATTGGCGATGCAGGGTTGAGGTCCATGCTGCCAAACATAGAAAAGGTGAAATACTCTGGGGTCAAACGGAGTTACCCCACCCAGTCGTACACAGTTCCTACATGGCCACTCTTTGGAAATTTGCATGTAATAACACCCAGTGTTATATGTCTCACCAATACTTTCATATGCAGTTCGCTTATGTCAGGCTCAGCTTGCACTGCACAAGTTATCCATTGGGATAAAAGTCTTGAAATGCTAAATTGGTTGCCAATTTCTTATATAAACAAATGAAGATTCCTGGTGCATTGTATTTTAGATGATAAAGTCTTATATCCCCCTTTTAATTTGAAGCTAGGCAACAGATCATCAGGTAAGGGGAGGGTTACAGATTGAAATCCCTAGGGTGAAGTACAAAGTGAGAAAGGAATCAGCACAATATGGAGGCCCAGTAATCTGGAATTTTATTACCAGGTTGGTAAATTTTAATGCACACGTTCAAAAACACAGTTTTAAAAACACTTTACACAGGCTCTCACAAAACATAAATGGCTTCTTGTTTGAAGCACCCGTGATAGCTTTGAAAGACTGAGGTTTTTTTATATTTTTAAGTATTATTATACTGTACATAAATTTATAGATTAGTTTGTAACTTTTATTTGTCAATGAACCTCATTTTATTGACTTGTACTGAATGTAAATACCATTGGGTGATTTTACAAATTATTTTGTGTGTTATTTTACTTTTTATTAGTTAATGGTAGGTGCAAATCAGCCTTATGGCTGCCACTTTGGTAACGTGCATCACTAAATAAAATGATTGATTGATTGATTGATTGATGTCAGTGATCAGTTATATCATTAGCTAAATGTTGCTTATGAGGATATGCCAAGGTCATATTTGATCAAACAACTGAGGTCAGATCTCAATAAAGTTACTCATATTGAGAGTGTACCTGGCATTTATCCAGGAGCACAATATAATTTTGAAGAATTGCCAAATATGATTTGGCAACCAATCCTGACCATAATCCTAATGAGGTAATCAAAATTACAAACAGTGTGGATGATGCAAGAATGTCCAGAACCACCAACTTCTTAATTTTATCATTGTGCTTCCTTCAAAATGAAGAAAATGCTATTTCTTTAAGAGGAAACAGAACTATAACAGTTGTTAATGGACCTGAGAGCTATGACACAGTACGTGACACACTGAAAAATAGTCCTTTGAGGTATAATAGTCCTTATTTTTTAAATAAAGATTAGGAAATGGTTTTGGCATAAAATGTCTTGAAATACTTTGAAAGTCGATTTCTGTTCAAGTCCTGTTTGAATGTACATGCCAGGCAGGGAAATCGGATGCTTGGGACAAAGTACGCTTTAACAATTTTGATTTTACTTAATAATAAATAATAATAATAATGACTTTATTTAAGTGTCAGTGTATTTTAGCACTGCTGTGCTAATTGGGGACACTGTAAGTAAGGAAACAAATATCGTAAATATCCAGTGGTAGGGAGGAGGACTTGAACCCAGGACCTCCGGCTTACAAGTGCAGCGCCCTAACCACTAGGCCACGCTCGCCTCAAATGGAGAAGGGAATGTTATAGTGAGTTACTTGTCAAGTTTGTTATACGCAATATTAAGTTAAATAAATTAAAGGCTTTACTTTCCGTCAAAAGCACTTTATTTAACCTGATTCTAATAATGAAGTTAATGCGTATGGTTGGTTACAGCATTTGGAATAGTATATAGCCTACAACATTGCAATCAATTTAATCACAGTACTGTTGTAATGTTTGACTTTAAATACGCTTGACGCTTGAATGCTTTAAAAGAGATTTGACTCTGTTATTCATACCCTTTAAAAATTTTAAATGGTCATAAGTAATCAATCAGCTAAATGTAGGTCTCAGATATTCCTCTGCCATAGTTATGTTACACTAAAACTTTCAATAAGGGCACAAACTGATTCGTGATCTGTAAAATTTGTTTCTGGTATGTGTAACTTTTTTGTGTTGAATATTGGTAAATATGAGATCAATTAAAGTTTTATTATTTGTAGTACAACATGTCTCCAACTGTCTATATTTATGGTCTCTTGTGAACAGATTATACAGAGAACGTCTTTTTAAACTATTGAACCAATTAACATTAAAATCGCCAATAAATAAAGTGAATTGTGATGACTGGGATATCAGTAAATCAGATAATGTCTGGGAAAATTGTCCCAATGGCACATGAGGTGAGTGGTATATTCCAAATATATGTACATGTGGAGCAGTCTTTGCATCTTATAACAGTTATTTCAACACCAGTGGAATTGCTAGAGTATGGATAGCCAGGATAAAAATCAATCTGACTATACATTGCTGTTCCACTAAATGGTCTCGCATCACTATTTGAGGTATTAACATCATTTCTAAACAAGGTATAGTTGTCAATAGCACACATAGTGTCATCATCTAAATGACTGAATCTTGTCTCGGAAAAAAATACTAACAACAGTACTTAGATAATTTAAGTCATTCTGGATATCTTCGATATGCCAGTGCAATGACCTAGCATTGAAGTAACATACTTTTAGTGGTATTTGATCAGTATTGTAAATAGCAATTAAACAAAGGTTTAAGTTAGCTTCAGTCGTTAAACAGTGTATTTCTTTTTGAACATCATGGCCTACAGCTGTTTTGTCTTCACAAAGTTTAGTGATACATAAACCTTCTCTGGCTGTTACTCTACTCAGACCTATATAGTGGATATGATGTATCGCCTTTTTAGTGTCAAAATTGACAACAATTTTAGTTTCAGTAGAACGTTGTCATCTGTGAATGGTTTTAGTAGCAGCAGCTCCAAGTGGAAATTGTTTCCATAGAACCTGTATTGTTCTGTTTGTACCAACAGTGAATTGTGCTGTGACAGGTTTGATAGGTGTCCACCCAGGATCAATGCCTTGTACATAGAGATGTCTGTTTTCAATTTTAGTTCTCTTGCCAATATCAGAATGATCACACTGCACCCATATAATTCCTGATGGTTTATGTGGTAGCTGTAAGTGGATTAATTTGATCATGTTACTAGCACCATTTGTTAAGCCATCATCTGTTCTTATGTTAAGAGAAGTGTCTGTTCTTTTCACCTACTGCAAGATGTAGAACTGTATGCAGTTGACCTGTTTTAATTGGGTTATCAACTAGAATTTGCTTCATTATTGTGTCTCTTAGACTCTTAGACTCTGAGACCCAGCTCCGATGACGTTGTCATGTGCTTTGATGGAAGACTTTGGTCCAGACATGGCTTTGCGAACTCTATCATTATATTCATTTAATTTGGCATTTTGAATGAAGAAATGAGAAGCATCTAATGGATAATTGGTGTTATTACATCGTATCAATCTCTGTTTAAGTTTTATTATATCCTTTATAGTATGTTTACCTTCTCCTAGTCTGTTTAACATTTCAGCAAATAACTTAAATTCCCTCTGCCTTATTATTTCATGCAGTTCAAACATTCTAAAATGTTCTTGCCAAAGGGTCAGAGCAAGAATACTATATTCAGAGTTATCCATATGTTTCAGCTGAAAAAGAGTCTATTATTTATCTGTACATGAAACATTATTACTAACCACTGAAATCTCATCTATGAATATGAGTTTGACTGCACCAAGCTGGCTGGCAGATGGCGGATGCTACAAACGAACTCTTCGTGTTTGGAGACGATTTTGAAACGATTTTGAACATGTTAGAGGAGGATGAAGCAATCGAGAAACACTTTTCAACTACAGCGATTGATGTAAGTATATTCTATGTGAATTCTTCGGCCTATTTCGGCTGTAGTGACCCTAAGTGTACCATACGCGACTCTTTGACAACAACCTGACCATCGTACCCAACGTTGACAAGTTAACTACGCGAAATTTTGTATCGCCAAGATACTGTCGAGCTAGATGACAAAACTGTACTTAAACGTAAGCTTAAATTAACTTTGAAGGCCATAAATGTCCATGCATTTTGCGGTAATGACCAAGACCACTTTGTGATCGTTTTTACCACAGGTTCAATCGGCAGATTTCGTTTGTAGTGACTGTGGAAAGAAATACAAGACAAGAGGAGGCTACCAGAGACACAGAGCTTCTAAGCATAACCCTAATGAAAATGACAGACAGGAACGGACGACTCTCACTCTAAGCAGTCTTGCTGAAATTGTAAAATATGCCATACAGACTGTAAACAGAGGCAGAGCTTTTGCACCAAGCCTTAGGAATGAGTTGAATTTGTACCAATTCAAACAATTTGATGAGGGAACTGATGAATTTACCGTGCTGAAAACAATTTATGATGGATATTTGAAAAATGGGGACGTCGAGAAGTTTTATGGAAAATATTATGGTCAAGTGCCATTGCAGGGTTTTCAACTGTTTTGTAAAGTAGCGGACATACTTCTGAAAGCACCGGACGTGAATGTTTTCTTGGCGCCGTAAGGAGCCTCGCGAGCACCGTAGTAAAAAAAAATCGCCAATATTGATCTCAAAGTACCGGACGTGGAATGGCAAACGACCGGATGAAGCGTCCGGCCTCCGGCCTCAAATGAAAACCCTGCCATTGCAGTCCACAAAGTTTTTTTCAGGACTATCCCACAATGCTGCAACATTATTAGCAACTAAGGTGGCAGATAGTATGCTGGTATACTGCAAGTCCACGAAGGCTTGTTGTAGCAGCAATCATCCAACCCAAACTCTGTTATCAGAGAGAGAGAAGGCTGGTCTTCAATATGTGGGAGGTTATGTATTACATAATCTACACAAGTAGCATGCAAAAATATCAACAATTGAAAGCAATCATGCTATGGCAGTAGTATAGCGCGTCTGACTAGCAATTCCCGCGCGGCCTGGGTCCGAGTTTGAGTAATAATTTATTCATGCCGTGTAGGTACACGTGTTAGGGTTATTAGATAATTATATTCATGACGTGTAGGTACACGAGAGTAAAAATTGATTATTAATGAGCGAGTGTCCATGTCGGCCATCTTTGTTATTAAAGATAAGGGTCGGTTTGATTTATATATGGAACGGTAGCGTAAAAATCATCCATGTGGGATACCTATTTGTGTGATGCGCATGTGCAATCTTCTGATTAAAAATGTACGCATGCGCAATGCTTTAGAGCCAGTCCCTATGTGGTATGAATGTCACGAAATGTCCTATGGCTGGTACTTATGTGGTGTAAGACGTCACAAAATGTTACGTGTGACGTCATCTGCCCAGACTTGCCCACCCAAGCTAAATCTCAAGAGAGATGTTGTCTAAACTTGTCTAGGACTTGCTCAAGAGTTGTCTAGTATTGCTTAAGGCTGTCCGAATCTCTAGGGGTTAGGATTTGTTATTTAAAGTGAAGTCGTTGTAAGTAGAAGGAGTCATAAACATGCCTGTTTTTCATTATCCCTACGATTTTACGTGTACATGCAAAACATGTGTCTGCTTACAACGCGTTTCACGTGGGTGGATCATCTTACATCCAATGTATTACTTGGTTGGTTACTGACATCAAGGCTATGACAGAATTTGAACACTCCTTAAAATGGTATCGCTTACGCCATAAAAAAACCGAGGTATTCTTAGAGATTCAGCCAGTCTCCATTACCATGGATTGTGACAGAGCTCTCGAGAGTCCTAGAGAAATTATCTATCGTAGTTATCTCTGCTCTCCATCTCGAGTACAACTTCGATATTGACCAGAGCAAGAAAAAAAGGCCAGCAAAGTGTGTTGTTACATCCAATTCGGGATGGGAGGATCCAAGGCTCAAAAGAAAATTTCCAATCTAAAACGCAAGATTCGTCAGCAAGCATCGAAACATGTTCATTCTTGTAAGGAAAAAGATCTGGAAATACAGGAATTAAAACTAAGGGAAAGACATCATGACATTATATTTCGCGATGCCTTACGATACATTTACCACCCCTATGGAAACCAGAGATGTATCTACTATACCAACTGGGATAAAGAAGTCGCAGATGGTTTCCATTCTGCCTACCACGAAATAGATTACAGATAGAGAGACAAAATGTAAAACCATGTAAAAGTTTATTAATTACAAAAAGTACGCTACGGGTGTTGAATAAAAATGTGTAATATTATAATTGTTTGAATTGTAATTAGTAGTTAACCAAAGATAATCTTCTATAAGGGGTGCTGCTACATCTTCCTCATAATCTACAAAACCCCAACTTATGACTGGTGTGACATTACAAATATGATTCACAACCATAAAAAAGTGAAATTGGTTAAAAAGTACAACAATTTCATCATCTTCCATATCTAAAAGACACCATAGTGTAAAAAAAAACTCGTCGAGATCCTCCAGAGGGAAATCATCCAAAGGGAATTCATTCTAAAAATGTAAAAAATTTAATTTCATAGTCATTACTTGACCACATCGTAGCCAACCACTCATACCTATGGAGCTCTCTTTCTTGGATATCATAAAAACAATGTATGAATTGGTTTATGTTATACAGTGAAAGAACACAATTTAAAAAATCAACATCTTGAAAATAAACAGCTAAATTAAAGTTTTCCATGACTGATAATTCAAATTTTAAATTGCTAAAAAACAAATAGAGGGCATCTGTATCCACATAGTTTTGATGTATCTACGAAAGAGAAACCCCATATAAACGAATATGAAAAAGTTGACCATAAAAGTAATTTTGCAGTCATTCCATGGGTACGCGATTACTACCAGGTATTATTTCAACAAACGGTAACACGGAATTAGGTAAGATATACAAATGTAAATAATGATTCCATAATTGTCTTGGCGTATAAAAAACCGTGTCGTTCTTCAGCAACTAATTGTAACCTGAGGTAAAAATTTCTCATAAAACATGCTTGTATTGAAAAATAACATCTGGGAAGAGGTCGTTGAAAATGTCTTCGTAAAGAACGAATTAAATAGTATGTGGTAGTCTTTATAATCGGAAATCTAACTAAAAGTCTACAGATTGATTCTTGAGGTATCTATAAAATAGAAAATAAACGTACTCGCATAAATAAATTGCTATGACAATAAGATCGGTTTAATCTTCTTGTTTCGTAGATACCCGCATGTATTCCTAACATATCACTTATTACAGTATTTTCTAAAAGAACATCAAAAAGTAATTGATAATAAAATGTATCAGGAAATAAGTGATGCGCTTGAAAAAAACTATTTTGAAATTCCATACAAAATTGTACATGAATCACATAATATTCCAGTCTATTTATTATAATTCTTAGAGCTTGAAAAAGAGCTCTTAAAGAATTTCGAATGAAATTTGTTTCTTGATCAGTCACATAGAGCAAACATAAAGTTGACAGGTAATCATGTGGAGGAATCTGAAATCATTAAAAAAAGTCTAATTGAATTACTATTGTGTAAAATGTCGTAATAAAAAGAAAAATGAGCTCTCATATAAAATTCAGACTCTCCTACATGTCAATAAAATTTAAAGAGCAAAAAAAAAAATTAATATCTAAAACGTTCACGAAACATATAGTGGCAATAACGAATAGAATCACGATTTGAATGCGCAGGGAAACGCAATTGAAACCTAAAAAATTGGTATAGTACTCTTCTAATGTGATGAAAAAAAGCTACTAAAAACTCAGCGAAAGGAAAGTGTTGAGTCAAAAACAATCTGCGTATATGAGCTGGAACGATTTCATCGATATAGCGTTCAAAATACGTGTTAAAATCTGGAGGTTTATAAATTTCAATTCGAATCAAATCATGTTCCACATCCAGTCTAGTAAGAATATTCCGCATATCGGTGATCAGACGAAGTAAATAATTGCTCATAAACTCATGATCGACGATAAAATACGATGCTTCAAATACGTCATGCATCTAAAGATGAATAGAAAAAAGGTTGTCTTAGTTTTTAAAAATTTTTTTTTTTTTGAAATGTTCACGCAAACAACGATTCGTAAAATAAAAAACACACATACCTGTTGAATCCTGGCTTCGAGCGCTCCAGGTTGAAGCAATGCTTCCAAATCTTGGATGACCTGTTGTCTTTGTGCTTCTCTCCTTGCCAAATCCTCGTTTATCGGTGGATTTCTTATTGGATCAATGGCGGCTTGGGCAGCAAATGGTCGTCGGCAGTATCCATATGCAGCCGATGTATGGACATGTTGCTGGTAACATGCACGGTGAACTCGTCTTGTACAGCATGGTGTCGCTGTAGCATTATACATGTTTACAGTAATTGAAGTCAAACAGATGAAGCAATCGTAGGGCGCTCCGTCTTCTTCGACATCCTGACGTCTTAGTCGTCGTGATCTTCTAACAGGAGGCATCTAAAAGAGAAAAGCGAAGTAAAATGTTAAAAAGCAAATCTAGCATATAAAAAACGAATGGCAATCACAAACTTACCTTGTGTCACACTTGTAGTTCACGTAGAAGATCACACACACGTCAAAACTTCTTCTTACTGATAAAGTAGTAAAATCGTATTCAAAACCTTGAACCAACAGTTGACGCTTCTGCTTTAAACGCAAATTGAAAAGTGGAAAGCGTTTCAACTACGTTTTCGAATAAAACAGAGCCCCTTAGGGAGAACAATTAAACAAATTTGAAGCTACCTGAGGCTGCCCAATCCCCTAAGGAAATCGTCGCCAATCAGAGTCGTTGTATACAGCCTGAAAAATTTGAAATTCAAATTTCAGTTGACGCTTCTGCTTTAAACGCAAGTTGAAAAGTGGAAAGCGTTTCAACTACGTTTTCGAATAAAACAGAGCCCCTTAGGGAGAACAGTTAAAGAAATTTGAAGCTGCCTGAGGCTGCCCAATCCCCTAAGGAAATCGTCGCCAATCAGAGTCGTTGTATACAGCCTGAAAATTTTGAAATTCAAATTTCATAAAAAACTACTACAAAGCTTGCGCCATCATCTCAAAGGCTGCAGATGTAGATGAAGAAGTAGTAAAGTGTAAAGTTGTAGATTGAATTGAGGGATCGAGCGATGGCGAAACGAAAGTTTGACGAAGTGGAATATGGGGATGATGGTATTTCGGATGACTTATTAAACGAAATTGGAGAAGTCTTTGAAAATCAATATGGCAACGATGTGACAGACTCGCAAATGGTTCAATTTGGTTGTGAATTGGATCAACAACAATTAGATGCCCTCGACATTGGTTTGGATGAACACCCTGAGCAAATTGGTGGTGGTATGCCCTTGTTTGAATTTGATTTTCAAAAATTTGGTCTCCCCAAGCGGTGGAAGAAATCAGCGGCGAATCAACAAAGATATCGCGCCACATTAAAACAGAGGCGTAACCCAACAAAGAACGATAATGTGGGAAAAGAAGTCACGGAGGCTTTAGTCAGGTAAGATGATCATGATTTAGTTTCTGTCGTTAAGTAATTGCTACGAGCACTATGAAACAGACATAGATAAAAATCATCATGTGTCTTCGATATACGGAGAAGCTGACCTAGCAATATCAAAACTTGTCTTAGAAATCAAAAATGAAAGAGAAAAAACTGCTAGATCCCTAAGGACCTTTTTTTTTTTCTTAGATCGATGAAAGAAACACTCCATTGCAAAAAAGTTACCGACCAGTGGCAAAACAAAACATTGAAAGATACAGATGAAGTGTTTTTAAACTTTAAAGCCGAGAAATTTGACCACCACGTACAAACACAACGCTTTACTGTCGGTGAAATCATGAATGGAAATGGCGAAGAGCGATTTGGTGCATATATGAACCAACTGGCCAATCAACTTAACTCGAATGAATCTTTTAGCCCTGAGGATAAGTTCGCCGTCGACCTCACCATCGTGCCAAAACCAAAGGAAGGTGGTAAATCCAAATTAACAAAGGGAAGACATAATATTGAAGATGTTCTCCACAACAAACAATGTGTATTACCGATTAAAAATTCAGAAGACAACCTTTGCCTTGCAAGAGCCATTTGTCTAACAAAAGCCCACTTGCATAAAGACGATGGTGTAGAGGGAAAGCGTTACTATAAGAATCTTGGAAATAATCCGAATGTGCTCACCCGATGCGCCAAATTCCTTCACAAGCAAGCTGGTGTGCCCGAAGGCCCTTGTGGGCGTGCCGAATTAGAAAAGTTTCAACAGTACCTGGCGCCCGACTACCAGTTGAAAGTGATGACCACATGCTATCCATATTGCATTACGTTTCAAGGAAACGTGGAATCGCCAAAGTACATCATCCGCCTCCTGTATCAACCAGAGTACGAAAGCGATATGGGTCATTACCATGGATGTACGTCTTACCTCGGATTCCTGGAAAGATCGTATTTTTTGTGACACGTGCAACAAAGGCTTTGACCATGACGACTTCCGCAACCACCCATGCGAGGGCCGTCGCTGTAAAGCATGCAAGCAGACCGAATGTGGTACAAAACCTCACGAACCCACTCTCCACTGCTCAGCCTGCAACCGCCATATTTTACAGTCAGAACTGCCTCGCCTTACACCGCGCAAAAAACATCTGCATGACCCTAGTACGATGCGGTAACTGTTGCAAACAATTTCAGCCAGACCCCCAACAGCTACACCGTTGTTACTTTGGAAAATGCTCTAACTGTAAGGAGTACGTGGACCTTAGAGAACACAAATGCTACATTCAACCCATCCCTGAACAAGAAGATTCACCCAAACGGAAAACGAAAGCCAAAATCAAGAGGCATTTAAAAATAAACCCCGAGGCATCCGTGTACGAAGAACCATCCATCTTCGTCTACGCGGACTATGAAGCCATGATCAGCGAAGACGGAACACACCTACCCATTTGCGTCTGCGCTCAAACTTCCGAAAACAACACCTCCTACACGTTTTATGGTGACGATTGCAGTAAACAGTTTCTGGAATTCTTGACGAACCTTACCGAAGATCAGTACAAAGAACCGCGTGAAGTCATCTGCATATTCCATAATTTAAAAGGGTATGATTCCATTTTCATACAGCATCAGCTTGTGATAGAAGGAAGAAAATTCGATGTGATGATTCCTAACGGCACAAAGATGATTTCTCTGGAAGCTGGTAAAATCACATTTAAAGATTCCATGGCTTTTCTTCCCATGGCTCTGTCCGCATTTACCGACACCTTTGGTCTCACCGAGTTGAAAAAAGGCTTCTTCCCACACAAGTTTCATACGCAAGAAAATCGAAGTTATGTGGGTCCGTTACCTGAAGTTTCTTACTATGATCCGGAGGGAATGTCAAGTAAGAAAAAAGAAGAATTTGAAGTGTGGTATAGAGAAGAAGCAGCCAAACAACACCCATTTGATCTCAAAGAAGAACTGCTTGCATACTGTCACTCAGATGTTGCGTTACTGAAAGCTGGATGTCACAAATTCATCCAAGAATTTAAAAGCATCGCCGGTTTCAATCCTATGGAAAAATGCGTTACGATCGCCGCAGCGTGTAACCGTTATTGGAGGAGGAAACATTTACCCTTAGATCTCATAGCAGTAGAACCTTCATCGGGGTGGCGAGGTGCCCGTATGAATCACTCCAAAGCATCGTTGGAATGGTTGATGTGGCAAGAATACAATACCAGAAGTCGAATTCAGCACGCACGTAACGGAGGAGAGTATCGTATCACTGTTGGCCCTACCTCGTACTTCGTGGATGGTTATGATGCACAGACCCGCACAGTCTACGAATTTCACGGGTGCCTCTATCATGGTTGTCGTACCTGTTACACCAATCGCAAACAAATTCCGTTCTGTTCCAATGGGTTGACCGTAGAAGCCTTACGCCAACAGACCAGTCAGAAAATCCAAAAACTCCGCGGTAAAGGGTATCGAGTGGTGGAAATCTGGGGGTGCGAATGGGAGAAAGAGAAGAAAGAAACACCAGTCATTACCGAATTTCTAAAAGATTTGGATATCGTCCCTCCTTTGAACCCAAGAGAAGGTTTTTACGGTGGTAGAACGGGCGCCGCCTGCCTGTACCATAAAGTAAATGAAGAAGAAAGAGAAGAAATCCGCTACATCGACGTAACCTCTGAGTACCCCTACGTAAACAAGTATGGTAATGTACCCTGTAGGCCACCCGGACATCTATTTGGAACCAGAGAATCAAGACCCTAGAAGTTACTTTGGCTTGATGACTGTGGACATCACCCCACCCGCTGACCTGTATAACCCAGTCTTACCATACCGTCATAAAATTGGAAACTCCTACAAGCTGACCTTCCCGTTATGCCGTAAGTGTGTAGAAATAGAGACACAGAAAGAACATATGCTGGAACGCGACTATCACTGCCCACACAGTGATGAAGAACGAATGTTACGAGGCACCTGGTGTACCCCAGAGATACATAAAGCAATCGAAAAAGGATACCGACTCGTCCGAATTCATGAAGTATGGGACTTCCCAGGCGTCGAAAAGGTCTGTTCCAACCGTACTTGGACACCTGGTTAAAAATTAAGCAGGAGAGCGGTGGCTACCCAAACTGGGTGCGGACCGATACGCAAAAAGAAAAATACATTCATTGCTATGAAGAAAAAGAAGGTATCCGACTCGACCCTACCAAGATCGTCAAGAACCCCGGAAGAAAAGCCACGGCTAAACTCATGCTTAACTCCTTCTGGGGGAAATTTGGCCAACAAAACAATAAATCGAAGACCAAACAATGCACGCAACCCTACGAACTCCTAGATCTGCTTGACGACCCTCTCTTCACCGTAACAGACATCCGTATTCTTAATTCCGAAGTGATAGAAGTATCATACAAACGCGATGAAGAAGATCCTTACAAAGGGAGCAATACTAATATTTTCATCGCAGCATTTACCACCTGTTTGGCCCGCCTTAAATTGTACGAATCGTTGGAGAAGTTGGGTGACCGAGTCTTATATTACGATACAGACTCGGTCATATATACATGGAAACCGGGCAGACAGAAATCGAGCTTGGCGACTACCTCGGCGACATGACCAACGAGCTTGACAATGGCGACTTTATTGTAGAATTCATCTCCGCAGGTGCGAAGAACTATGGGTATCAAACAAAGAATGGTAAAGTGGTGTGCAAAGTAAAGGGATTCTCGCTGAATGTACGTGGTGCCAAACAGCTAAACTACGACATCATCCGCCAAAATATTTTGGATGAGGTTCTTCACCCGTTAGATGAACAAAGAAAAACGCTGGTAGTCAACCCGACCCACTTTGTCAGAAACCCCACTTTGAAAAAAATCAAGACTGAGACTCAGACGAAGTCGTATCAACTCGTGTTTGACAAGCGAGTTTTAGATCATTTGCACGGTTTTAAGTCTTATCCTTACGGATATTCGCGACTGGATGCACAAGATTTGGAGAACATGGACTTGTTGCTTTAATGAAAAAAACAAAGAAACAAACAAAAAAAAAACATTGACACTCAAAGCGAACATTTTTTAAAATTATTTTTTAAATAAAACAAAGTTTTAAAAAAGTTTTCATGACGTGTTTGTTAATTCTTAAAGTAAACGGTTAATTCTTGAATCCCTTGGGTGACCACTTCCATTTCGGTGAGGCGTACTACTTTTCGTAACTTTTCATAATAATCCCTTCATGTTTCTTCGATTTGTTTTTCTTGAGAAATCATGCATAATTTATATTTGCGGCATCGACATGAATACACTCGCGGCATCTTTAGTGTCTACAACTTAACAAAAAACACTACACTGAACGTTTTCTATGTTGTTCAATATTATCAAGCCATTTCTTTGAAAAATAAGTTCTTTCCTCCACGTTACGTATCAGTTCTTTTAATTGGAGTTCTTTTTTATCTTCCCATGTATGATCCGTTTGCGTTTCTTTCTCTTCTTCTTTTCCTGGGCTTCAGTTTTTGGCGGCGGCGGCTTCAGACAGACAGCCTCTGGCTGCCTCTTTTTGGTTAAACATGTTATCTCACTCGTCTAAAATGCAATGTGACTATAGAAGCGCCGTCTGTAAACTGAGCCAAATTATTATTTTCCGACTCACTCATCTGTGTTTCCACCACATCGATGTGATTCTTACGTAACTTGATGTAATGAATCTGCTTGGGTTCGTAATAATAATTTCCTTCCAAGATTGGTTGGTAGTGTATTTGACGTATAAGATCAGTCGTCTGATCTCCCACGCGTACTGGAGCACAAAGGGAGGAATACATATACAAGGTTCGTGGGTAAGGTAAATTTAAGTAGGTACTTCTCTTAGTATTGATAAAGGTCCAGTTCAGATCGCTAAGAAGAAATCTATGATATTTCTCCGCAAATCGGTCTTTCCATGGGATCTCATATCTGTAATACGCCAAACTGGATGTAGTAAGCCTCCTATCATAACTCCACACCGTACCACGTTTGGTCACTGTGAGATTATGCGCCGGTCGTGATACATCACAATTCTCTTCAATAGGACCACTAACAATACGACGATAAGGAACTGTTGTTTTTTTCGTCCAACCAAACAACTCACACATGTCTCGAGGTAACTCAAAATAGAGACCGTCACGAACTTCTTGATGAGTTATATCAGTCGATTTTACCTTGTCTGCTGTTACAGTAATCGTTTCTTTATCCTCATCCGCAATCACTTCAAATTGTGCACTGTGTCCTGAAGAAAAATGACTCCCAAACGCCGAGTCCATATTCATAATACATTTTAAACGTTCTTCATCAAACAAGGATTTGAGTAAATCGTGAACTGTCTCGATACGATGTTGTTTGATGTCTCCATACGTGACATTGTAAGTCACTTTATGTTGTATATCCCCAGTGGCTACTTTAACTCGTCCTGTGGTTAGCAAGACATCATCGTCTTTTAATCCTTTGAGGTAACTGGACACCTTAGAATCGTGTGGAAGCGAAATACTACTCAATCCCACTTCCCACTCTCCTTCTAAATCGATGCGTTTGTCTAATCGATTTTTCCAAGAATTGTTTTTGTTGTCTGGAAAATATTTCAGACTCCCATCGTTACTGGGTAACGTCAAGTAAAAAGTATCACCTGACATGATGTGCTCTCGATAACGACACAACTACAAATGAACCGGAGACACACACTGTGTTGCATTTTCACAAGTTTTATTTCATCATTGTAGAGGCGTTACAATTTTGTTTTAAGCTTAGCTTGCATGATTCGCTTCACAATTTGCTCGGTTAAACTCTTCTTGCCTGGAAACTTATCGATTCCGGCTACCATCTTACGATCTGCAATATGTTTGTCAGCGAGTGATTTAGCTTTACTGTAATCAATATCGTGCTGTTTGGCTAATCTATCAAGACGATTAATTCCTGGATCACCACGTTTTAATCGCTTGGCTAATTTTGTACCTGGACCCATATACTGGTATCCGGGCCAATGAAACTCGACACCTAACTTTGAAATCCATTTCTGAATATCAAATTTTCCTCCTCTCTGTCGTTTCCTTTTAGCCTTAGCTTGGACGGTTCTTGCCCCTCCCTTTGCCTTTCTTCGACTTTGGCGTTTCGTCATCTTCAAACACTTGATATGGGTCGTAACCTCTCTTTTCCCAAGGTTCCCAGTTACCAAATTCTTTGAGTCGTTCCAACTCCGTGCGATGCTTTTGCGGTGTGGGAACAGGAAGTTTTCGTTTCGTTTTTTGTATCTTTTGGGATGGAGCTGTGAGAAAAGGAATCTTAGACGTTCCCGGTTTCGCAGGGGTGACGGGTTCGTTCTTGATCCCCACAGGTGTGACAGGTTCCCTCTTGAGTGTCATCTCAGGTACGGCGGCTTGTCCCCTCATATTTATGGATTTAATGAGTTCTTTTAACAATCCCTCTTGCAACCCCTCCATGAGATTACCATCATCGTCTCGAGGTGGAGGTTCTACACCACCGGCGATAGGAATCTGTCTCAATTTGTCAGTAAGCTTGCGTTCTTGCATTAACAATTCTTTTACCACAGGTTCTTTTAAAGCAGCAGGAGTAGATGTATCTTCTAATAACAGTTTTGCTTCAGCGGCCACGCGTGCGGCTTTGTCCAGAAGAGTACTTTCAGTAATTTTTCCCTTGTAATAATCTACCAAAGCTCGAAACTCATCGGGTTTTACCATTAAGAACGTCTCCATAATCGCCACAAGGGTTCCACCACACGCATACGCAACCACCGAAACAGTTGAGTTATTGTGAGTCTACACTCGGTTGAATCCTTATAGTCACTGTCGTCGTCGTCGTAGTTGAATTGCAAATCAAACTTTATACCCGTGTCCACTTCGTTTATACCCTCTTGCACGGTGACAGTCATGATCTCTTGAAACACTGACAGAACGCGTCGTTCATACCACTCCAAAAGCTACCGCCTGTTTGATTCACAAGTAATTGACGCCGCTTTCTTAAAGAGTTCCTCCGTTTACCCAACTCTCTCAACATTACTCTATATTTCTTGAGTTTGGCAACGGTGGGCGGTGATAAAGGTATCTTTTTCTTCAACATGTTCAACGTGAATTCACTGACGGCATTGATTTGATCTTTACTAGCGTGAAGTAATTTTTCCATACGACGCTTTCTATTTTTCTCTTGTAAAATAGATTTTAAAAAATCCACATTTCTCTTGAAACTATTAATCATCGCTTTTTCTTTGTAAGAGCTTCTAGGCCTTTTTTAGCCCCAAACGATGCAGCTCCTCCAAGGGCACTTAAACCCAATGCTTTACCTCCAGCAATGACATGGTTCGTACGCTTTTGACTTTCTGACATTCCATGACTTTCCATGACTTTTTCCATGACCTTTTCCGATTTTCCATGACCCAATTGTTCAAATTATTTTTCTCAATATATACTTACAGTACCATCAATTCGTTTTTTCCTTGCATGTTAACCAAATTGTAGAAAAGAAGAAGATGCTAAGACCAGTTAAATTCATACGTATAACACGGAATCTTTATTTCCGTGCAACAAAATGACACAAGTGCAACAACACGACGTAAACAGATACTTTTTTACTAAACTTTACAGTCCAGAACTATATCTTTTAAATTTCCTAAGATAAACTTTACAGTCCAGAACTATATCTTTTAAAATTTCCTTATAAAACTGTACAGTCCAGAACTATATCTATTAAAATTTCCTAACAAAATCTATACAATGCAGACTTAATTTCCTAACAAAATCTGTACAATCCAGAACTATATCTTTTAAAATTTCGTAACAAAAACTGTATAATCCAGACTTAATTTCCTAACAAAACCTGTACAGCCCAGAACTATAAAATCTTAATTTCCTTACAATACAGTCATTGTTTCAGTGTTCACAATTGCAGTATGAGGTTTCAGTTTTCATCTACAATATAGAAAAATATATGAGTGCATCCTTGTATGAACAAATCTATTTGTTCAATGGTTAAATGCTTGCAATTCTGGTAAATAACTTCAAGAAAGCAGTACTTTTGGACAGGTTGTCACTCGGACTTATTTATCACACTCTTCCAATTCCTTGTTTAAGTTTTCTAGTTCTATCTTCTTCTCCTTTGCTGCATTTCTGAGTGCATTTGATTCGGTTAACAAGACGAGCTGCCTCTTCACCTCAGCCTCTTTAGCTAATTTGTCAGCATCAAACTGTAAGGTGGTGATCTCTGTTTCAAGTCTCTTCTTTTTCTTCTGGAAATCAGCTTTTGCTTCATCCACAGATTTTCGTTTGTGGCTTTTGGCAACATTTTTCGCAAGCTGTCGCTGCTCTTCAAGATGGGCGTGATACCGCTGTCTTCCTGCTTTAGCAGAGGTAAGAAGCTCGTTCGAAATGACCAATTTATGAAATCCATCAATACTCAATATGTGGTCATGAATGGTGCGTTGGGCAACGAAAGTGGTCTCCTTCATATTCTCAATCATTAGCTGTCGGTTAACGGAAAATCCCCTTTCTACACTTGCTTGCCCATGTGAGAGACACAAGAGGAATTTCACAACGTCCCACAGTTTGGAAAGTGAACCGACAAGACCAATGTGTTTTTGGAGAAATGCATCCAATCTCTGATCTGTAAAGTCAAAGTCTTCAAACTCAGACTTGTGCACCTGTGTAGCCCGTTCCGTAAATTCACTGTACTGTGACAACAAAATGTCACAATCATGAATATCAACCCTCTTGCATTCTACCAATTTCTTGAGGACAATCTTGAACCTCGCACAGCTTGCTTCTTTCTCTGTCACAATATGAATCGGATCCAAACAGCACAGGTTCCTGGCAAGGAATAGGCAATTGGGGTCTTCTCAATAAGTTTTCCAACTGTAGCTGTAAGGAACGACTGGAATTCCTTCCTAAATTCATATGTCTGACGATCACTGATTTTCTTGGCTGCTTGCAATTCTTTTCAGCTTCGTGGCAGCAACAAAACCAACATCCAACTTCTCCACGTCAAGGCAATTCTCCCTCTTCTTGAAGTCAATCTTCAGAAGCTTTACTGCAGAGCTGGCACCCTGGAGTACATCAGCTTTGACGAACCTTTTCATGAGACCACGAATCACCTTCTCTAGACTGCTGGCCACAAATGGTAGAAGAGGGCTGTCGCTTTGGAACTGTACCAGAAATGGTTGCAGCTGTTTAGCCACTGACTCAAAAGCAGCAAATTTGAGAGGCATTAGTGGATCTTGGGTTGAATCTCTTATCGTCTTGTAGGACTTTGAAGTTGGCACACTATATTTGCTGCTACGTTGCACCGTTGTCACATAGAAAGTGACTTCTTTCCATATTTCCTGGGCCCGTACTACAACTGGCAGGTTCTCCAGCCATCTGTGCTTGCAGTACTTAATTGGAAATACAACACTGCTGGTTATTTCTGTGTAATCCTCTCTTCGTGCTGGTGAATCCACAAATAACCAATGAAGAGAAGACAGAACTTCCTGAATGCTCCAAGTAGATGCCTTTGATCCAGCTTTGAAAGCATTGTGTACAATGTGAAGTCCACAAGAGCCTACGTTAACTAAGATGGGTGCGTTTTCGTCAACCTCAGAGATCAGTTCCTGGAATAGCTCATGCAGTTTCCAATTCACGTTAGGCCCGTCCATTGACAACTGCAATATGTTGGACTTCTGAATCTTGATACTATCAAGGTAGCTAACGATCTTTTCCAAAAGGTCGTCGGCTGTAGCATGTCCCAGAAATACAGAGGTTAGGTACCTTGTCTGCACTCTGGAGTTCTTTGCATCCCAAAACCTAACATGCAGATCCATCTGCTTGGTTTGGGTAACTTTATTGTGCGATTCATCAAAAAGTAAAACAAACAATTCAAGTTTTGTGACTTCATCCGTAAGCTTACGTTGGAAATAGGGTGCTATGCCAAAACAAGCTAAGTAAGCACATTTTTTCTCGCCACAGGAAAACTTGCTGGCTATCTGGCTGTCCGGAAACATACGTTTAAATAGTTCTGGAATGTCCTCACAGCTCTTGTAACTATAGTGAGACAAGATTACTTTCAGTGCCCACAAAACTTCTGCAGCAAGTGTCTCATTTGAAGCCACATAATTTCTTATATCACCGGCACCGGAAGAACATGGCTGTTCAGAGCGTCCTACTTCATGTGAACCACGCTGGCTTCCAACAGCAGGTAAAAAGTTTCTGAGGCTGGCATTGCTACTCTCGTCTAAAATCAAATTAAAAATGTTTGTTTATGAATATCGTCAAAAATGAGCCCTAATTAAATGAATTTACTGTCACAGAAATCCTGGAATCTCAAAATTTCACAATAGCCTCATCGAAATTGCAATCCACTTATAAAAATAAACCATATTTTACAGGCGCCACAACAGAACTGAAGGAGGGGGGCTGAAGCCATAATTAATCCCAATGCTGAGCCACAAATGTCAAGGAAAAATAAAAACTCACTTTTAGTGTATTAGTGTTGTATCGCATAGTATTAACTATTGTATAAATTTTGTATTAATAAATAAAGATGCGCTAAATAAAAAAAAATGAAATGGCCGTTTTGCTAGTCCCTCATAATACATTAACTTTATATCTGAAATTTAATATACCTCCGAGTTTAGTCCCACCGGCCCCAACCACCCCCTGCAGCCTCTCAAAACTCAAAAGAACACTCTTGCCTAAACATCGGTACAATCCATGCATTATCTTTGTCATCCCGAAATTAAAAAGACATTTATTTATATTCTGTCGCTTTAGATGACAAATTCTTTTTCTGTTCTGTTTATTATTTTGCCGATTCTTATTACACCACAGCACTTAAATCTATGTTATACCCAATACAGGCTGCATCCTAAATGAATCACGAGTTGGTACAAATATCGAGACAAATATCTAACGCAAACATGCATTTTCTTGTCTTGATGCAAACTTTAAATTCTAGTAAATTCAAATTTGAACACACAAACGTACCTTTAACAGCATCGACGTGCTTCTTCGATTTCATGTGGCTTTTCACTGCTGCTTCTCCCATATTTTGAACAGCGAATGTCTTTTTGCATGCTTTACATTTTGCCTCTGACGAAGAACTCCCGCGTTCTATCCACTTATTATACTGCGGGTTACTCAGCCAAGCATCTTGGAATTTGCATTTTCCAGGCATTATATATTAAATCTGCTTGAATGATCGCTCAAGCTCATCTTTACCTCGTGGCAGGCCTGGTCGCATGGCGATGCTGGGACTCGGCCCCAGGTCTCAGCAAAAACGTATCACACGGTATCGGGGGAAAAATGCGCGTTTGTCGTTGCAAACACGTAAACAAGGAATAGTTTATTAAACAAAAACTTGTGAAAGCAAGGAATTTTCTTTATTTTCATCTCGGTTTTTGCAAAATGTCAAATTATAACAATTTTCCATGACTTTCCATGACTCTGATCGAAATTCCATGACTTTCCAGGCCTGGAATTTTTTTTTCGAAATTCCATGACTTTCCAGGTTTTCCATGACCCGTACGAACCCTGAATGAGGGCTGGAATGAGTGCCGCTAATGGTAGGATACCTCCTTTTTGTCCTCTTTTGGTTAGTCTTCTTTTCACTCTTCTTCTCCTTCGGGTTGTGGGCATACTGCGCTTATAACCAGGCATCTTTCTTATTTATTTCTCTCTGTAACAGCGTACACAACCTTCGTGTCGTAACAAGTGACTTAAAAGTCTCGTAGAATCTCTACTTGCAGGGTGTACGTCAAATAACAAATAACCACAGGGTCTGTCCGTACATGCATTATATATATCCATAACAGGTAGCCACTTGGTCGGGTATATCTGTAGCAGTAAGGTGCGCAACGCCACTTTATCTCTAGGATTTTTAAAGGCAATAATGTATTGCGCATTCCTAGAGATGGTCTTAGCATATTTTCCTTGAGGGAACATGTCTTGGCAGAGATAACACACGGTGACATTCATGTGGTGGGAATATTGTGTGAAAAGATTAAGTATTTCTCTGTCATCTCCTCCCTCCGACATGAGATCATCCAAGACAAGAATACCCCCTCGTTTATCTCCAAACCATGTTGTTAAATCGTCGTGGGTAGGCACTCCTTTAAAAAATTCTATGCCATGGCGTTGCATGTCGTCAAACTTATTTTGCCAGGATCCATAACAGTAATGCACGCGGGGCGGTCTTTCGTCAAAGAGGTCTAAATTTTCCAAAAGTAGGTGATGGAGAAAGGTGGTTTTTCCACAACTTGTAGGGCCCACAATCAAAATATTGGAAGGGGATTTGAACGAAAATCCTGGTTCCACACACTTGAACATGATTGCTAAAAGCGAGTTACACAAAAGTGACACGATTTTATTTCACTCCTTTTATTTTATTAACGATTGAATGATGTCTTCTAACATGTCGCCTACTTTATCATCGTTGCCTACATAATCCTTTTTAGAAAACATGGAAAAAAACTCATCCATACTCTTGCGTCTTGCTTTACACATTAAATAAATGATGGCATAGTTTCCACAACTTGCGGTTTTTACAGATTGTAATGCTCGAGTATTTTTACGCACGTAAGGCCATCGGTTTAACCATACAATGAATGGTGTCAGAAATTCATAGGTGGTTAAATCTAAACCATAACTATCTAAAATTTCACAGCTATCGTGTTCGGTCCACACAGCTATCCAGTGTTCCCCAGGTTTGTCTGCAGGGTGTGTATTGACAATGTAAGCTCTCGGTTTCACACGTTCAGGCGACTCGGGTAGTTCGTCACAGGCTAAAGCACTCACAAAGTACTTGCGGAGTTCTGGATCGCTATCCGCTAAAGTGTTGAGTTGATTCGTAGTAAGCCACACAAACTCCATCACTAATGCACTTCCATCGTGGTAGCTCCTTTAATGCCATCAATTTCCATAATGCTTTCATATTCAGCATAAACGATCACCGTTTTCTGACTTGCTTGCCCTGCACATTTAATGTGAATGTTGATGAAGCCTTCATTTTTAGGTAGAAGAACCGGGTCATCGTGTCTTCCATTGGCCACATTGGAAAACGCAAACAGCGTGCAATTTTTTCCATGACCCCAGTCTTTGAATCGCACCATGTTTCCTGCATTTCTGTACAGACAGCCAGTAGCATCCAGAAATCGGTGATAACCCACCAAGTCTTTTTGACCATTAGCCGTGTTGAGTTCCAAAGTCTCGTATGGGTATTCTTCTCCATTCACAATTTGTTTGATGTATTCCACCCCAAATTTTCCAAAGGCCAAGGGGTCTTCGTTGTATTGACCATTGAATGCAGTAGTTTTCAGAATACCAATGATGACTCTTTGAGGGACCTTTCCATTGAATGGGTTGTTGATTTCTTTAGAAGTAGCCCCATTGTCTAAGGGAAACTGTCTCATCTCGGTACGGATCATGGGATACTTGGTTGGGGTTTTGGTCATCATACTCATCATGCTCATGTAGACGGCTGGGTTTAGGGACACCAGACATAGAAAGAAGGTAAGTTTAATATCCTCTGGGTTGACTCGGACTTCCTCACTGGGTGGATTGGCTTCTCCATTCATGAATAAAGCTGCTGGATTCAGATAAAATTCCAATTCCAAAAGAGTTTTGGGGACGATCCATTTTCCTTGGTGAAACGCGTCTATAAACGGTTTCATTCTCAAGATTCTCCTCTTTCCTCCTGCATAGTAATCTGTTGCATCTGCTCTCTGTCTCTTGATGCTTTCTTGATGATTTATGGAAAGAGCTGTATACGCGTCATCATCCATCTTGACATTTGCAGCGGTGTAGGTTACAGGAGAATCAATTTCGTTCCGCCATCCAGCTGGTTCGAGTATCGTCTCTCCATCATTCCTGTCATAATTAAGGATCGTCTGTATGAAAGCTTTAAGATGGTACATGTCTACTTGTTCGGTGAGTAAGGTACCATTGGCTCTGAAATTGATTTGCTTGAAGAGGGTGTGTGCAATATTGTTGGCTGGTGAAGTCATCACACCCACATTGTTTGCGCGTGCTGTGAGACTGGCATTTTCTGTGGTTTTGAAACCCAAATCCAGTTGGACAAAACTTCTCGAAAGATCGATGAGATCTGATTGTCGTTCCACGTACACTTGGATAGGAGTAATACTAGATGTCTGAGGTGGTATTTTGACATATCGGTACTTTACCGTAGAAAGATCTGTAGGTGGTATTCTAAAGAGATCTAGACTTGAATTCTGCTCTGCCCCTTTGATAGACATGGTGATGTGTCTGTTTCAACGTCTTCTGCGTTTATGCACACGTTGTCGTGTTCCTATTTTCTTTATACGACTTGTGAGAAATCCTCCTCGTTGCTGTTGTTTTCTTCTTCTCCCTTTATACCTTTTTAAGATGGAAGACACAGGATCTGTCGGTGATGTTGTGCCTACACCAATGATAGGATCACTTTGACGTACGGTGCTGATGCGGACCATGTTTTATTCTCCAAAAATATCGTTCAACCTCTTGGCAACTTTTCTCTTCAATTCGTTCTTGAGCGCTTGGGAAGCCCCTCTCTTTATACCTCGCGGCACTTCTGATAACGAACGCTTTTTGACACTGCTTTTAAGGCCTCCTGTTACACCTTTCAAAAAATCTTTAGCCATGTCTTTGACTCCGGCACCTATTTGAGGATCACCCCAGGATCCGATAAAAGGTGGTGGGGCATAAGGTGAGGGGGTCTGCCAGCGCATGAGACCACCACCTCCTTGTTCATTTGGCACATACACTTTAAAGCGTCTCAAACTTCCTCCTCTCATGATGCGATCACCACAAACACACAGTTCACTTTAAATCTTTTTTTATTAATCCAACTGTTATATTTGCTAGGGTACCCTTTCCACTTGACAAACAATTTATCCTTTTGTCTCTTTAATACTTTTTCCACTCGAAAATAGGTCGCTTCATCTACATGTACTTTTTTTGCAAATCCCACACATAAAATGTGCCTTGTAAGGGCGTGTCATCCAATTCTTGCACTTTATAGGTCGTTACCATTCCGGGTACGACTTTACGAACTTGAAACACTTCTTCCGTCCATCCTGGTAGATACCCTTTCTTAAACGGTCTAAATTTTTTATTCAATCGGACTTTATCGCCTACTTTAAATGCAGGCTTTTTTTTTCTTAGTCTGATATTTCCCATACAAATTGTTCCACACTTCTGTGGCATTGAATGTGGTGACTTTAGCTGGTGTAGTTTTAATACTCCTGTGATAGGTGCGATTGTATTGATTGACAAGTTTGGGCAATATGTCTACATATTTGAGTGTGTTGGCAGCCGTGAAATAGCGATACAATTTCGATTTAAGGGTTCTATTAAATCGTTCGACGATACTGGCTTTGGCATCTCCATGAGTAGAAAAGTGATGAATCTCCTGTGTTTTCATCAATGATTGAAAGGTCTGATTGTAAAATTCTTTTGCTGCATCTGTCTGTAACGTCTGAGGTTTCCTTCCTTTGGCTTCCTTGAGTATTTTTGCAAACGCATTCGTCACATCTTTTCCTGTTTTCTTTTTAATCGGCCGGGCCCACGCGTATTTGGAAAAGGCATCGATCACGACCAATACGTATCGGTATCCCTTGTTCTGTTTGGATAGGGTCTGTACTTCGATCAAATCTGCTACCCATTGTTGATCAATGTCGAACACCACCACAGGTAAAAATTCTCCTCGTCGACGTCTTGGTTTGTGAAGCGTGTACGCCAATTTTTTCTCTAATTCTTTTTTACCTTGAGCAATAGAGATCTTTTGAGCTTTGGCATACGGTGCCACACCACCCAAACTACCGACTACACCGGGATCATCATACAAGTCGTCCTTGACATCTTTCTTAATGTTCTTAACCATGAGAAATGACACCAAAGTTTGAAACAATGGTATGTGACCCAATACTTATGAAGGTACTGCGTATACAAACGATTCCACGTCTTATATGTATACTTCCCATTATAGTATCTCATAAACGTCATCAAATGAAAGATACGGTTGTGTAGTGGATGTAGGTGTGGTTTCACGACAAACTTAAACACCTCATCCTCCATGTCTACGGGAACCCATTGGTAAGGGATTTTATGCAGCTCATCCTCTTCGTAGACGATACGTGTGATGCGATCACAAAGCCACGACACCACTCGATAATGTAAGTAGCATAAACATTGACTCCACGAGGTAGGCATGATGAACTCATGATTTTTTTTCATCGCCGACCCTTTTTATAATGCTTGACATTATCTATAATGCCTTTCAAAGCCTGTTTTCCCAGAAGTTTGCCAAGTGTTCCAAAACCTGGTGCAGGACCAGATAACAACATACTTGCTGCGTAAGCTAATTTATCGGTAAGAGAGGGACCTCTACGAAGAATTTTCTTAACCCTACTCACAGAAGCACCCCCACGTTGATTGCGTTTTCTTCTTTTAATCAGTGACCGTCTTACACGCCTCATGATTGACACAGACAAATGACACAGTGTTTTCGGTGATACAACTTTTATTTATTTATCCATATTATCTTCTAAAAACTGTACATCACAAGCAATACATTCTAAGTCTTTATCCGACAATCCTAAGCGTCTAGCTAATTTTCTAAACTTAGGCATACCGATCAACCAAGCGATTTCAACATGATCGTCCATAGACAATGTATCTAGCTTTGTGTTTCTACCCATCAACCGTGCGATTTCAAGATGGTCTGTACTTATCCCATCTACAAAAAAAAAAAAATTAACAAAACTTGGAATTACAACTAAAAAACATGAGTAAGAAAAGTTTGAATGAACACTATGCCTAAAAAATTAATACATTCGACTCTCATTACTTTCTTTGAAGTAAAGGAAAAAGGGCTTCTAATAAATCAGCAAATGTCATCTTGACATCTAGTCCTGAAATGAATCATTCATATCCATCCGCAAGAATTTGCACTGACCTCTTGTTGGGTTTAAATCGCCACCACGTAAAAAGATCACAGTTATGTCGACTGCATCGCAAATACATTTTGCCATAATTTGTTTCTGATTGAGTCAAAGACAATGTGGGAGTCATTCCACATTCGCACACCATCTTGTCGATTCTGTCCAGGGTGAACCAGGGGTGACCCTGTCTTTGACATTCATAGTAATAACGGTTGTAATCACTGAGATTACAAAATACTGGGCAACGGGCGGACGAGCAACGGAGGAATACATCGTCACAATCTTCTTTTTTAGATTTTAATTCCTCCATCATAGTCTGGTGGATGGGACATGGATAACTGACTTCCACACTGTCCAACAATTCTTCCAGAGAAGAATAATGAAACATACCTGTACCTTCTACGTCAGGTACGATTTCTCTTTCTTCCAATACTTCAGTCTTCTCCAGGGTTGATGGGTCATTCTGAACACTTTCCACCAGCTGGTTCAACTCTTTCAGAGGAGATGTTTGCTTAGATGACTTGACTTCTGGTTTCATATAATCCACCTCGAACTTGGGTAGTTTCACATCTTTAGCAACAAAGTCTGGGTTCTTCATAGGCAGTGCATCTATAACGAGACTACCTTTCAACTTGTTCTTAGCCCATTCTTTCTTATTCTTCAAAGTCTCTTTCTTGGCATAAGGGTGAACCCTCTTTGATGTCTTCTTAGTCTTGTTATCTTCCATCTTGCTTTCTTGATGCTTGCTTTACACTCTGGGAGTAAGAAATGTGATTTGCCTGCTACAACGACTCCACTTTTATAAGGAAAATATATGATCTTGATTGACAGGTTCCTCTTGGGAGATTGGGCAAGTTTGGGCTGAATCTTTTAGACTTAAATTTCGTAATCTTTTTGTAATCTCTTCCACACGTTTCTCTACATACGCTTTTCTTATGTTCCTAATCTTGACATTCCATGCCGCTTCTTCCATAATTTCTTTATATTTGATACACGATTTACATGTTTTGCATGTACACGTAAAATCGTAGGGATATTGAAAAACAGGCATGTTTATGACTCCTTCTACTTACAACGACTTCACTTTAAATAATAAATCCTAACCCCTAGAGATTCGGACAGCCTTAAGCAATACTAGACAACTCTTGAGCAAGTCCTAGACAAGTTTAGGCAACATCTCTCTTGAGATTTAGCTTGGGTGAGCAAGTCTGGGCAGATGACGTCACACGTAACATTTTGTGACGTCTTACACCACATAAGTACCAGCCATAGGACATTTCGTGACATTCATACCACATAGGGACTGGCTCTAAAGCATTGCGCATGCGTACATTTTTAATCAGAAGATTGCACATGCACATCACACAAATAGGTATCCCACATGGATGATTTTTACGCTACCGTTCCATATATATATCAAACCGACCCTTATTTTTAATAACAAAGATGGCCGACATGGACACTCGCTCATTAAAAATCAATTTTTACCCTCGTGTACCTACACGTCATGAATAAATTATTGCTCAAACTCGGACCCAGGCCGCGCGGGAATTGCTAGTCAGACGCGCTATACTACTTATGGCAATCTTAAAAGCTGGAAAATTGGAGACAGGGTCTGATTCACAAAGACTGGTGTCAATTTTGAGTCGTGGAGGTCTTTGGTCCATAACCAAGCCAGCAGAAAAGATTTTTATCAGAACAAAACATTATTTTCGACAAATGACATCTACAGTCAATCTGGCTCGAGTTGACATAGCTGATATTGTGGGCAAATCAGTGAGTGATAGTGAATTGTTGTCAAATTACTATTTATTAGTTTCTGATGATGAACTTGTTCCAGACAATCACATTGTCAAAGATATCTTGCATGGTATTGTACACTTGTATGTCAGGGTGCGTTCATTTTCTTTTGCCAAGGATATTATCCAGCATCATAAAATTAATACGAAGCAATCAAAAGCTAAGGCACTTCGCAAGGAGATAAGCAGGAGCTGTGAAGAGCAACAACAAGAGAGGCTTCATTAGAACTGTTTTAAAATTTTTACTTTTTGCTGTATAAAAGAATGTAAAAAACACTAACATATGCTGCTAAAAAATTTTCCTTTTCCTGTTTCTGTTGGGCATTTGTTGCAAATATAACTCCTACTTAAAGCACTTGAAGACTGCATATATGTACATGTATTGGTTGCTATAAACTGGAAAGTCAACAGATACTCGCTTTGGTCTGAATAAAGCCCGGAAAGGGAAGGACTTTTTTGTTTGAAGTACCTCATTATGAGAAAATACAATCCCTGAGCAACCACTTTTCTAGCAATATTATTACCCACTTGAAATATCACTCTTTTGGGTGGTTTTTTAAAGTAAAAAAGCATTCAAATTTGGAGTTTTACATTCCCACTCTACCCTTGCTCTAAAATCAGTTGTCTGCAATGCCATTATGTCCAGTTTAATGTACATGTATTGAAACAGTCAAGCAATTTTTAATTTTTTTCTGCATGGAAGCTTGGTGTGTGTAACTTGATCCCATGCATGGCAGGCATCCCTTCTACCCCTAGTGTTCCCACTCTGGCATGACACTGTCCTCTGGATTCTGATGGTGTTGTTGTTATATCCAAATGTGCGGATATCTGGATTGTCACTTCGCCTTCCCAGTTTGCGCTGGTTCCCAAAATATTCCTCCACTGGGTCCTGGCAGAAACGCTCTGTGAGCACGAACTCCATCCCTTCATGAAGCAGGAATTTGGTTGCCTCAATTGCAGAATACACTGTTATCTGGAAGCCCTCGTAGGTCTGCCAGGAAAGGAACATACGGGATCTGGCATTCTTGCTGAAGTTTCCTGGCCTTTCCTCTGTGCTCTCCTTCCATTTCCTCAGATACTCCAAGAAATTCAGTAGAAACTTAAACCTGAAACCAAGTGGCAACCAAAAATGTTAGTAACACCAACTACTATCAGCTGTCAACACTGACACTTGTATCTGTCGAAGTAACATTTAATACTATTGATTGTCATCTGCTGCTCATAAATTTACAATAACAATGACATTATTCACCTAAAGTGGATGTGCCTAGTGGTGGACATTTACCGAGCCACAAATGAGAATGGATAGCAATCTGGGCACACACAAAAATCTATGCTATCCACTGTTTTAGTATATACCAATGAAATAATGATAACCTCACTGGAAAAAATTTTCATAAAATAAGTATACACAGCATAGAATTATGGAAAAAAAAAAAAAATTAAACAAATTTTGTGTTGTGCTGAAACTTCTCACAAAGAGAAGCAAAGTAGAGATGACTAAAACAACTACATGTTATTCCATTCAGGTGTTAAAAAAACAGTAATACCTTTCATCTTGATCAGATCGGTAAGGGGCTACGAATGGCTTGCGCTTCCTCTGATATTCTGTGGTACTCCGAACATTCAGACAATCAAAAAAGCCATCAACCATTTCACAGAGTTTTGCAGTTGCTGTTGCCTCTGGTGGCCCAAATTCCTTTAACACTGCAGCCACAGATGCACTAAGGACATGAGCTGCTAGGTTCACTCGCATAACAGAGTATGCATTTAGGTTGACATGTTCAAATGACAACTTAGGCAACAGTTTCAAACCATTGTCCAAATCTTGATAGAAAATTTGTGTAATGTGCTGCCACAATAGAGAGAGACCATTGTTCCACATGTATCTTGTGGACTTTCCAGAGCCTGAATGCATCAGACAGTTCCTTGTTGTCTTGACCAGGTGTGGGGCATCCGAGAAGAAATATATATAACGATGGGGTGCAAACAAATTTGTTGTACGATAACAAACATCCTTATCTGATTGCCCATCAAGTGACTTGTGAAGCCGATAAAACCTCCTGTTGGGTGAAGCACCATCAGATGTGGCAGCAATAACCCGCAAGTTGCAAGAGGTCTCAAGGATACAGACAGCTTCCCAAAACAATGGCAACAACTGAGCAGCAGTAGCACCTGTAGTGGCAAAGTGAGCCAAGCCAAATTTAAGCTCTGTACAAATTCCGCGTACAAGGAAAGCAAGGGCATGCGTAGCAACATCATCAACCTTCTCAAGAACTCCAAAGTTCAAGTTTGGGTCTCCAAGATCGGTAAAGCCAATCAGTTCACCAGTTGTCATGTCAAGTACAAGGTTTGCCATAACTTTCATTTCGTCAAACTGGAGAACAACATATCGTTGTACATCAAAATAGCAGTCAGTCTCAGTCCTGAGTTGCTCAATCACTTCCTCTTGAAAGCCCCGTTGTGGCTTTATAGCGTTTTGGTAGTCCTTCAAACGTCGCTGACTTGGAAGAACCAAAACCTTGCTTTTTCGAAGTTCCTCATAGCATGAAGATGACTTTACCGCAAGGGACAAGCAGAAGCGAATCACCATTGGGTGATAACGTACACCAGTGCAGCTACTTGAAAACAATTTCTTTTGCTGTTGCCAGAAAAGATTCATAAAGGGAGTTATTTCATTGTCCGCTGAATCAAATAGTTTAACGAAGTCATTGCTCAGTTCATGGTCTACTTCAATGCTTGATTTCTGTAATTCATTGCGCATATCTTTGAGCTCTCTTTCAAGTTCATAACATCGCAGCCTTTGCTGTCGCAGAGTCAGTTTGATCCTCTCTGGATCAGTCTTTGATATAGGAGCATTGACATGAGCGGGTGTTAACTGATGCTTGTCTTTTGCCTTCTTGGCTTTTTCAGAACACTTTTGGTATTCCACGCATGCACTGCACACCTTTTCAAGTTTTCCACATATAATCAAACAGTCCTTTACTCTCCAGTAACCTTTGTGTGGAAACTGTTCGTCCTCCTCTAACCCCTCACTCATGGGAACAACATGATGAAACAGTGTGCTTGTCATCTCTAGTGTGTCAACTCCACAACACAAACTGTAGTTCTCCCCCAACAGTTCAGCAAGACTATGTATGGATATATTCCTGACTGTACGCCGATAATCAAGGTACACAGGATGATCCTCCGGAAAATAACAGCCATAAACTCTTACTGTAAATGCTAGACTATCATCCACAACGATTTCAAACTTCGGAAGCACATATGGAATCTCTACCTGTTTTAAGACAGCTCTGTCAGAAAATGTTCCAATGTTCCAGTTTTGAAGGCTCTTTAGCTTAGTCAAGCGCTGACAAAACTCCGTGAAAGTCTTGTAATGAACTTGCGGCTTCTTGATCAGATCCCGGACAATGGTTCGCTCAGGTCTTTGCTCGGGTTTTGGAGTCTCGTGAGTTTTTTTCGGCATGTTCAACTTGGGAAGAGCACCAAACCGAGCCTTCTTCTTAGTCATTTTCTCTGAATGAACTATAAACAAAATAAAAAAATTACACGCCAAGTTTTAACGGCGATACAATGGATGGAAAAACCCCATATACAGTCAATGTCTAGTAAAAATCGCCTGAATTGCACCACTAACACGACTACACAGAATACACAGGACTGATATCTAAACACAAATCGACACCGTGACAGTCTACACTCGCTCTTACAAGTTCGAGCTATTTACATATTTCAACGTCCTCAGGTTCGAAGTGTTTTTCGCAGGTAAAGATCCTGTCCTTCGCTACTAAGACTTTAAATGGAGCATCGCTTTCTCTTGTCTTTGTAATTTTGTTCAGCCGCTCTTGTCTCCATTTCTTGTGAGCCTCGTCCTTTGGTGCAGGCAACTTCCAAATTCCAATGCCTTTCGTCCTTCTGCTGGTCCCACAGCCAAACACAGCGCAGTTGTCGCCGGGAATAATTTCCCCAGGATGCTATATTTCTAGTATCTGATTTCAACGAATTCTTCTTTCGCCCGAATATCAAACAATTTTGTTCTACAAACGGAATAACGCTACTCAATACGCCATCTTGCTTTGTGTGTGTGTGCACGGTCGTGAACACGTGATCACTCGAAAATCAGAACAAAGAGTTCCTCCTTTGAAGTTCGCCGGGTTTCCCAACCAGTCCCCTCAACTAACTATGTCTAAACCAAGAATTTATAACTCCTCTTATTCCATTGTATCAAATGCTTTCTCAAGATCTATAAAAATTCCACATGAGTACTTTCTATTGTCCATATTAGAATGTATGGTGTTCACAATATCAAGAATCGCGTGCTGGGTACTATGTTTATTGCGAAAGCCATATTGTAAATCAAAGAATATCATTCTTGTCTATAAACTTTATCAGTCTACGATATAAAATTTTCTCAAATAAACGATAACAAAGAAATTGGCCAATAGTTTTCAGGTAACGTCTCGTCTTCACCCTCATAAACTGGAATTACTTTTGCATATTTAAGTTTTGCAGGGTAAACCCCAGTTAGTACAGAGTGGTTAAAAATTTTGGTTAATGGTATGGATATGACTGATTTGGCAAGTTTTAACAGTTTAACAGGGGTAGAATAAAGCCCCAGGGCTTTATTGTACGGCAACAAGCTAATTTCTGTTTCAATTTCTTGCGGTATAATTGGATCAAAATAAAAACTGTTCTGCAAAGGCGGATCAAGATAATCAGAAAAAGTAGTGTTAACTTCAGGAATATTGGTTTTAAGTTGATGCCGTATTGACGAGAAGTATTTGTTGAGTGTGTTACCAATCGTTTTAGGATCATCTGATAAAACGCTATGCTCGTTAGAACGAATGAAGTTAATTCTTTTTGATTTTTTCCTTTTCTTCGCATCTCCTAATATTTCGTTAATACCTTTCCATGTCGATCGCGTATTTTTTATGTTAGAGTCAAAAAACCTTTGATTGTGACGTTGTTTACTCAATCGAATAAGGGTTGTTGACTTATTTCTATATATTTTATATTTCGGCCAGTTTGATTCAAAGAACAATTTATTCTTCACCTTTATAGATTTCCTTAGTCCAGCAGTTAGCCAAGGTGTAGTTAGCATTTTTAGTTTTCTCACTGAAGCATCCCTGAGCGGTACATGTTTATTAACTACATGATTTATAGTTTTATAAAGGTGAGAGAACGACTTGTTTACGTCGCAATTACTAGAAGAAACCTCTTCTCAATTAATTGCACTTAGGTCATTCATGTATTCATTAGCATGAAAGCTGGAATAATCCCTAAATTTAGTCTTTTTTGTATGTGGTAATTTTTGCTTATTTACGTTGACAATACAGACTTGCGAAAAATGATCGGTTGTGTCGGTGACGATATTGCCACTAGAAATATTATTCGTCAGGTTATTTGTGAAGATATTGTCAATTAAAGTCGCTGAGGACCCATCACTATGAACTCAAAACCCATGAAAATCTTGTGAAATAATTCATTGTAAATTCACTGGTTTTTCCGCAGGATTTTCATGGTTAAATCAATGACATTTTCATGGTCTCAGTACCATGAAAAAGACCTGAAAAATCCCATGAAAAACCTGTGAAAATTTCCATATTCATGACCCATGAAATATTGAGTAAAGTGACCTAGAAGCCATGAAATACCCATGAAAATGGCATTTCATGGCCTTTTCAAAGGTACTGAGAAACCCATGAATTTCAAGCCCAAAATTTCATGGTGTCAGTTCACTAGTTTTTAATGAGTTGCAGCAAATCATGACCCATGAATATCCTGTGAATAGTAATATATTCTCACCAGGGCTACCCACAAACAAAGCCTCAAGGATGTTATAAGATATGGGAAAGGCCAGCCCGAGGCGGAAGTGAGTAGGTAGCTACCTGGAGCGTAGGCGCTATCATCGCTGCGGGGAGGAGGGAGGGGCGCACTTAGCTAAACCTCCTCAAACGCCTCAGAAAGGACTTTTGCAACTACCGGTGCTGCTTCTACCGGTGCAACTGGAGCTGGTATTACAACTGGTGGAACTACCGGAGCTGGAACCGGTGGGTCTACGGCTGCAACGACGTCTGCTCTAGCAGGAATAACAGGGACGTGAGCCATGGTGAAACGAGAGACAAACTGAAAACACAAATTACGGCGCAGCGATGATACCGTACAGGAGGTTTTTGCGCACTTAGCTAAACCTCCTCAAACGCCGTGGAAAGGACTTTTGAGGTTATAAAGGACTGACCGCACCGGAATAAGATTATATAGCCAAAAAACGTGTAAAAGATTGCATAACCATTCTCATGCTAAAATCCCAGGGGTTTGGAGTCACGTAACATGCTGAAATTCACCATTGTTCGAAGGGATCCCTGGTGAGAATATGTAAAAAATTAATTGACCATGAAAATTTTCCTTGAATTTTCATGGCCTCTACATGGTTTTTTGATGGCACATGAAAGTTAATTGGCAGTTAGTTTTCATGGGGTTGTAAGGAATATGCAAGCACCATGAAAATTCTTTGGAAACCCTATGAATTTGGAATTAAAAATTCTTCACTTTTCTTGTACCAAAGACTGTACTACAGTGTATAGCTTGCAGTATACCATAACTGTAATACATACACTATCACTTAGATTATACACTGAAGAACTAACCTATCTGTGAAACTTCTTGGTCCTGTTGTACAAGCACACACACATGAAAGACATGACCAGAAGTCTGGATTCTCTGCTAGTTTATTTTGTTTCACCAGCTGTTCATAAATATTACTTTAGGATTCCAAAATTGTGATAATTCAGTTAACACTTTCTTAAATAAAAAAAGTTGGTATGAAATTTTCTGCATAAAATTAAGGTGTTAATGATTTTTAGCTCTATTTTGATATCACTGATTTTCCTTGTGGAGACAGATTCTGCTCCTATATTTCTGTTTATTTAAACTATTTTGAAGGTATATTATAAATAAATTTGATGTGAAAAATATTTGGAGGAAATTATTGAAAATATACTCACTGGTTTGATGTATTTTTGTCTAAACTTCAAATATCATTTCCTTCGTCTAATATCATGTGTAAAATGTTATGGACAGTTATTATAATGTCTATTTATGTAACAGCATTCGTGTAAATTTCTTGATATGTTTTAAACTTGTGATCAATACTCACAAGGTAATTAACAACAAAACAATTACCAACTTTCTGCACTCTTGCATGTGTGAAGATATATCTATGGCTGACCATGTCAGTGTCTCTCTGTTCTGGCCACCTGAATGTGCCATCCTTCTTTCGGTTATCATTACTATTTGCATCTTCATCATCATTTGGACCAAGATAGGCTGCTTTAGCAAGTTTGCTTTTCCTTTCATCAGTTTTGTAGACCAACATCCTTCACTGTTTGCAAAATAAAGGGAGCACATCATCAGTTATCTAAGAGCCTTTCTTATGTACGTAGTAAACCTAGAAATGGATAACTCGCCAAAACAGGTTCTTTTCAACATGAAGCCGTCAGATACTAAGCGACGCACTGTGGAAGTGAGGTGAGGTATTTCATATTCAGAATTTGACTGTATTTTTTATTCCTAAGAATGGTCGTAAGTATTTCCATACAAACTCTTGTGATGTTTCACCAGATGATCACAGAATAAAAATTTTCAAGTTCAATCAATAGTAAGCGCGCGCGCTCCGACGTTTACGCGTAATAAGATGACCAAGCTTGAACTTACCCCTTCACGTTGTAATGCATATCGATAACTTCATCGTGAGGAAACCTCTTTGAAAAAACTTTTGAGACGGTCCATTGCGTTGATCGGGAAAAAAAGAGACTGCTACACAAACACTACGAGAAATGCAATTGGAATGGAACCATTCCGTTCGAGGTACGAAAAAAACCACCACTTCTTTGTAAATCACGTGTACTTTCACGTGGTGACCTTAGGTCATCACAGCCATCATAGGTCAGCGGTCACATAGTGACCTCACAGGTTATCGTGTTCGACGTTACAAAATGACTCCGAAGAGGTCTCGTTTCTGCGTCTGTAATCTTACAAAATAAAGCAGCACAAAAAGCTGTTCGGTATTTGGAATTCGAAGCAAGTAACAATCGACAGGACATCAGAGTCCAAGAAAGTCAGAGCTGACATCGACAGTGATTCCTGTGAAAGCGATCACGAAATCAACAACAATGTTGTAGAAGGCGATCTCAATAAATACATGAAGGTAACGTTTCATCCCGACTGAGAAGATGGCCTGACTCTGTTAACTGGCGACTCTATGAACGAGGTAAAAATAGCATTTTTTTCAGGTTACATTTGCACACTATTCAAAGTTCCAAATTGAGGAGACAAAGTGATTGATTTTTCATTGTTTTGTTCCACATTTCGTGTAGATGCAATGCGTACTATTGCTGTGCAACTTAAGCATCTGTACTCTGCAGGTGCCTTACTGGAAAAGCCCTAGAAGATTCCTCAGCCGTGAGAATGTAATAGAAGGCCTTGAACAGGTTTCCAGAGTCATGGCTAACAATCAAAGCCAGCAGTGAGGCAGAAAAAAATCAACAAAGTCGTCCAGGCATGGCGAAGGCAAAAAGGCCCCAAAAAATCAAAGTGAGGATCAAACATCTGGGTCATTGCCTCCAGCCCCATTTTTCTCAACAAAGGAGCAAATTGAAGATCCATTGTTTTTAGTCATTGTTTTGTGATTTCCTGTACATTTTACGTTAACAAAGGCCACTTAAGATGTTTAGGGACATTTTCATTCGACAGTTTTTGCACTGTATACCAAAATTCCATCAGTGGATAAATTTATAACAAGTCAGTTCCACGGATCATGAAAGTCAGCTCGTTGATAAATCAGTGACTGTGATGAACTCATTAATACCACTTTTAATGGCCTATGGATTCATTGATGAAATTCATGGGCATCAGACTTCAGGGAATATTCTTGGCCCATTAATTTTGTTCTCCCAAAACAAATAAATTGTTAGCCCATGAAATGCTGTTTGATTGCAATTCATGGGCATGAAATTCATTCTGATGACTTTCTGGGGAAACTAATGGGTCATGAAAGTAGACTTTGAAGAAATTCATGGGTCATGAAAGTAGGCATATAAAGAAATTCATGGGTCATGAAATTAATTCTGGTGACTTTCATGGCAAATCAATGGGTCATAAAAATAGACTGAAGAAATTCATGGGTCATGAAAAAATTCCCCTAATTCATGGAAAATTCAGGGCTAAAAATAACCCCATGAAATTTCATTTTGCAGTATTCATGGGCCATGAAATGATCTTCATGGGTTTTTCACATGAAATTCATGTAATTTTCATAAAACTACAGTTCATAGTTCATACACTCGCGTTGGTTTATCAATTGTAGGAAGCATAGAAAAACTTTGCATACACTGAAGCAGTATCTGGCTGTATTTACAGTTTTCATATTTTAGCAAGTCTATATTGAAATCTCCCATGAGATATATATTATTATTATTGTGATTACTGAAATACTCGAGGGAATCCGAAAGATAGTCAAGAAATTGATCTGCATTATTATGTTGTCGGTAAACAATGCGGCAGATATTTTTCTTGTGATTTGGTAGTGAAATTTCAATCCACAAGGCTTGATAAGAGGAATTAGTAGAGCGTTCTAAGACTCGATATTTATAGTTTTCATTAATAAAAAGACCAACACCACCGGCAGACAACGGGGTTTTAACAAATTCAAAGCAATAGCCAGGTAGTTGTGGTATAAAATCAATAGATTCGCCTACGCACAGTTGCGTTTCTGTAACACCTAATACCGTGAAATTATGTTTTACCTCACTGAGTACATGACACTGAAAATGTTCAATATTTTTTCTTAAGCTTCTTATAATAGTGTGAAGAATAGAGAAATTGGATACGACATCTCTATTTCTGGTATTTTCAAACTTCACGGAGAAGCTATGAGGCGAATAGTAGCTTGAACGAATTTTACTCGTTGTCATTAGGGAGCTTAAGCAACCACGACGACCTAGGGGACGACGACGGCAGGTATGCGCGGAGAGACTGGACCGAGGACTTCGTTTTAGGCGGGAAAATGAAACTTAAGCAGCGAAGTTGCTCAAGGACGACGACGTTCGATATATTCATGCAGCCTCGCATTTGTCAAGAAATGACATCGTTTAGAGACGTTCAGAATCTATGTCTTCTCAGTCATGGATTTAATTTTATTGATGATATGGAACTTTTGATTCTATATGACATGTTCGAGCCAAGAAATCCGGATTTTCCTTACGAACCTTACGCGGAATTCGACTTAGATGAGATGGTTGAGTCAGAGTGCCTCGCTGAATTTCGTTTCGAGAAAAGAGATGTGTACCGACTTGCCGATGTTCTGCAAATTCCTCAGACCTTACGATGTGACCAGAGGTCGACTTGTGGCGGTGTGGAGGGCTTATGTATGCTTTTGAGACGGTTAAGCTACCCTTGCAGATACAGGGACATGATTCATAGATTTGCCAAGCCAGTCCCTGTCATCAGCATGGTTACAAATAATTTGATCTACTACATATTTGATGTCCATGGCCGACGATTGACCCATTGGAATCCTGAGATCTTGGATCCTGACCACCTTGAGACGTATGCAGCAGCCATTATGGCAAGAGGCTCACCTTTACACAACTGCTTTGGCTTCATCGATGGCACTGTAAGGCCAATTGCTCGACCAGGAGACAATCAGCGTAAACTATACAATGGACATAAGAGGGTCCATGCTATCAAGTTTCAGTCTTTTGTGTTACCAAATGGCTTAATTGGAAACATGTATGGTCCCGTAGGTGAACTATGTAGCTATATTTTCGTTATTGCGATTTCAAATTAAAAAAATTGTCTTTTAAAATAGTAATGAATTACTTTTTGTAATTTTTTTGTATCCTTCGCTTGTTTCAGAAGGCAGAAAGCATGATGCATCAATGCTTACAGATTCGGGACTGTTGCGAGACCTACAGCAGTACGCCTTTGACCATGGTGGCCAACCAATGTGCCTGTATGGAGATCCCGCGTACCCACTTAGAGTCCATCTTCAGGGTCCGTTCCGATTTGGAGTTTTAACCAATCAAATGAAGGCTTACAATACTGCAATGAGTGCTGTAAGATCTTCTGTTGAATTGCTATTTGGGGACATAATAAACTACTTTAAGTTCTTGGACTTCAAGAAAAATTTAAAAATTGGGCTAAGTAGCATTGGCAAAATGTATATCGTTTCTGCTCTTCTCCAGAATGCCCTTACCTGTCTTTATGGCAACAAAACGGCCACCTTTTTTGATCTTGACCCACCAACACTGGAAGAGTATTTCTCATGAGATTTTCATTTGTTTAGTGTTTATTTGCTCTTAAATCAAAAGGAGAGCTCATAACAATAGTCTTCAGCACTTTATAAATATTGTAAAGTTTATAATCGCAATAAGTTTGAAAATGTTTGTGATGAAATAAATATATCATCTTTAGAACAAATGTTATTAACAAAAGATTTGAAAATATCAAGGGAGGGATGCACAACTTTAACTCAACAATAATGTTCATCAAACAAACTTGTGAAAAAGTTACTTTGGAACATATTTTTGCATAAAAGCTAAAAATGCCTGTGACTGTTGCTGCTGTTGATTAACCATCATCATCATCATTTGCTGTTGCTGCTGCTGTTGTTTGACCATGGCGGAGATCAGGTTTTCTTGATTCTGGTTCTTTTCCCTCTCCCTTTCTTTTATGTTCTCCTGCTCTTTCTTCCTTAATTCCAGTTCTTGTTCTTTCAAACCAATCTCTTTATCCGCCCTTTCTTTTAAATATTCCACAGCATCTGATGTGCTCCTTCGACTTTTCTTCTTCAGATTCTTTGGTACTGAGTCGTCACTTTCCTTTTTTCTTTTCGCAGTTTGCCTCATACGTTCTAGAGCCTTCTTTCGCATGTCTTCGGCTGCTGCCTTGTCATTCTGGTTGTCACTCTCCAACTTTTCTTTAGCAGCTTTTTCCTTCTCAAGGATTTCTTCCAAGAGATCATCAAGCTCTGAAGTTTCAACTTGAATGCCGCTAGCTTTCTCTTCACTCTTTAGTTTTGCAGCCATTTTCTTGGTAAGGAGGTTGTAGCAGTCTCGTACGGACCTTGCAGTCACCTGGAACTTTGGACATGAATTTTCGTTTAACTTTTCTGCCAAAGATTCCCAGGCCTGCCCCCTTTCTGGACTTCTGATTTTAAATTGGTAGGGCTCGATCTGAAGAACCTCTTGACACATAACAATATCGTGGTCATTACTCCACGCAAAATTTGGATTTCTGCCAAAGTAGATAAGAAAAGGATTTGTGAGTGATTGTGCTAAATAAAAATTTAATTAATCCACCATTTGATATTATAAAATCTTTTCATATTACTTTGCTGTTAAAAGAGCTAAATTTTAAGGGAAAATTTACCGCAATAAAAAGATCGAAAGCAACGCAAATTATTTTATTTCTGACCTCCTACATTTGCAATTTGTTCTGCGAGTTCTTTCACGGCGATACGTGTATTTTTAATTTCCACTGTAAATATTTAGAATACTAGACTTTGAGGAGATTATTTCACATTTCTTTTACCCGCCGTAAATATTAAGAACACTAGATTTTACGGAGATTATTTCCCATTTAACATTACAGGGTGTAACTCATAAACAAACCTGATGTTGCACCAGATAAATGCAGGATTCAGGTTTGAATAAGGTTGCTTGCTACTTCACGCAAGCAAAACGACAACAATACATTTACAAACAATCGGCGGTCAGCCTAGAATGCCGAGCCTTTAGGATTATTTTCTCTTCACATTCACAGCCAAGGGAATCTTTTTTTAGCCGGATAGTTAGTGAAATATTTCCAAAATAAAGTTACAAAACCAGAGAGGGAAAAAGGCTTGAGTAATGTAAACACGCAATCTGATGAAAACCCTCGACGCTTTTAATTAAGTAAAAGATCGAATCTACAAGTTACCTACTTTATATTTTCTTGCACCCGAATTCACAGGTATATAGTACTGCTATCTAAAACTTTTCATTCAAAAATAATCACAATCAGCATTCTTTCACTAAATTCCGTCAATAAATTGCTTACGTGTTTGCTTTCTCTCCAGTTTTCACACTTGCCGCCATCTGTGCAAAAAAGGAAAACTTAAAATAAGCCGTTTGTGATAATTGACCCGAACATAAGAGCTTAAAACAACGGCACAAGACAACAAAAACTCCAACCAGTTATCAAATTTGGCAAATGGTAGTAAGTTCGTACCTTTTAGTGCTCAATTCAACTCAAGTTTCTTCCCACGTTCACGACGACGTGAAACAACTCTTTCTGACGTCGTCGACGCTGGCACGACGACGAAATGTTTGGGCCGCGCTTGCGCACTAACGTTCATCCTACTTCCGGTAGTCGTCGTGGTTGCTTAAGCTCCGTATTAAGTTAGCATCAGGATCAATCGTTTTGTCTACGGAATCGTTCTGAAAAAGACCAAGATCATATAAGCTATTTAATGAATAGATCGATTTCCTGGAGGCTAGATTAGTGTCCAGTAAAGCGTTATACTGTGGGTGGGCATTTTTCAGATCTTTACAGTTATAATATGGCAATTCCATCAACAGAAATTTGTTTTTTTATCACATCATTAGATTTTTAACATCTCTCTGTGGGAAACCATTTCCAATTTCAACTGTATCACATCATTAAAACCATATATCACTGATTATGAACGAATAACAATTTAACGCCACTTATCCCCCATCACCACAATTTTCTTTTTGTAACTTTTGACAAAGTAAAGCTACAGAAAAACCCTTTGCTCATTCCCAGACACTCTTTGAAAGCAATAAACATTGAAAATTTCAAGTCAATTGGTTAAATCCTCTATGAGATATGTTTTCTAGAATGCGCAAAATGCACATTTTGAGAAAAGTGCGATTAAAGTTAAAAAGCTAAAACGAAGATTGTCTGCACAAATTTGCATGGCTATGAACTATCCAATATCATAGCAAATGTTTCTTTCAGTCACTTAGAAGCCTCCAGGTTCATAGGTATCACCATCAGCCTCCCGTGGGGCATCTTCTCTCTGCGTGTGCGCCTCATTTGCTCTCCTTGCCGGCGCTTTTTTCTTTAGCAGAGGTCTGAAGGTCCGATTTTCTCAACCGCCTCTTGTCCTTTTCTTCTGAGGCCTTCTGAGTGTACTCCCCTGCTGGAATTACCAGTCTCTGCATTATTCTTGCTCTGCTGGCAGCTCCACTATGAAAATGGCACACAGTAGAAGCAACTGCACATCTAATCACCTTGGCACCATGATGCTTGTGTTTTGGGCAGCGTGCCCACACCAGTCCGTTGATGCATTCATTGCGATTTTGGGTGGCGCCACGCACACACCTTTGAAGCAGCTTAGTTTCACTAAGTGTGATGAATGTTGGCTTCAGCAGTTCAAAGAACACTTCAGGCAAACAGTCACCTGCTTCATAAGTATTTGTTCCAGTAGCACAATCTTGTTGCCATTTACACCAGGAATCCTCACCAACAGGGCAGAAGCGATGTTGTTTAGCAGCATCTTGTGACTGGACACTGTGATGGAGGATGGCAATGATATTTTTCTTCATGGTGTAAACAACAACATCAACCTCTCTTTCTGTTAGGTTTGCTTTAGTTAGGGTGTTTTGTCTAATGGCTAGACCATAGTACTTCTGAAGGCGTTTAATGCGGCTCTCAGTCAGTCGGCCCCGTCCTCCAATGGGTTTGCCATCTGCAAGTTTACCTTTGGTTCTTGCTTTAAGATTAAGTAGGTGCTTGCCCATGCGTTTTTGCACGTGCCCAACACAATCCAGTTTTTCCACCTTGCAGTCATCGCCATATATATTCTCCACAGTATTGAATGCCTTACTGTCTCCGTCAGAAACCATCCATTTATACCTTATTTTATGCAGTTCCACAGATCTACTCCAAACAACTATGGCACCCTCAGCTTCCATTGCAGGTGAGCTTCCATTAAAATTAATGTCACACTCATTGGAAGCAAGATGCTCAATCTGCCATGCTTCGAACTCCTCGTCAGTTTGACACTGAGACCTTTTCATGGTACATTTCCGGCATTCTTTTGAAAGGACATGATAGTCAAGAACCTCTCCAGTGTCTACAGATATAACAAAAACAACTCCAGTCAGAGAGGTAAACCCCCTTTTCGCCCATGTACCATCAAACGAAACGGCTGCATCGACTACATCATCATTGACTTCATCTCCACTTTCCTTCAGGATGTACTCGCGAACTCTTATCCCTGCCTGTGTCATTTCATCTTTGGCTTCAGCTTCTAAAGCCTCAAGTATTGTGTCTACTTGTCTGTAATAAGCAGGTAGTGATAGACATGGCATGTTCATGATGCTGCAAAAGGTTACTAGCCCTTCATAGCCACCTCCTGTCTCCAGAGAATGATAGACTGCACGACGATTTACGTCAAAAGATTGCCCTTTCTTTGTTATTGTATCTGATGTTTTCAATGGTGTAGCTTCAAGGCAGGAGCTACACTCCACAGAGAGGTCTGCCATTAGCCCATTTCTCCCAGAAGAATTCTCCTTCAGAGTTAAACTCCCTAGAACATAATAACAGTATACACTAAAGTTATTTTGTGCATTCTCATACATGTATATGAGTCACAAAATTTATTCACCACATACCACACAACAGACAGTTACAACTGTAATTTTTAATAAATGAAAACAATAAAGATAGTACTGAAGAGAAGTAAAAACATTCTTAGAGAAAAAAAAAATGGAAACTGCACACTGTTACTAGCATATGCTACGAGACATGAACAGTAAAGAAAAGGTTAAAAGTAAAACAGATGTTCACTTATGTTTTCTCACCTTCCTCGCACACATGTGCTTCAGACAACGTGGCATATAATTTCTTGAGGTCTACAAGTCTGTATCCCTCTCCCTGAAAATCATTTACATCAGAAATCTTTGATGAACTATCTGGTGAATCTTCTGGTCTCATTTTGAGTCTCGAAGCACTGATGGAAGCACTTTCGGCATCTGACAGAGCCTCATCACACGAGGAACTCGATGCTGAGTTTGTGACTTCTCTATCCGCACGCGGCATTTTCTTCGCTTTCCTTGCGTATCTCTGCACTCCAGTAAAAGGCTTTCCTTTCCGCTTTCTTCTATATACAGTATTCTTCTTCCCTCCTGGCATTTTAGACAAAAACTTCGCTGATATAAAACTCGAATCTCGCTCTCACAGTATCTCCACAGTTGAAAACACGCCAGCTTTCAATCCCACGCCACCTCCGACTAGCTATACTTCATGTAAGGGGTCATATAGCTTCCTCTTGAAAATACTGAGGAAATTCTAGGAATTGGATGGACTTTCGGGCTTCAAATTGGAGCAAGACTGAAAGATGCTACGTTGCGTTGCCATGGTAACCAAAAATATTTTTTTTACTAGCTTGCAGAAAACTTATCGTAGGCAACAAAATAAAGCAAATTAGTCTTAAAAACTCATGTCATGGCTTTCTTCTATGCCTGAAGTTTCAGATTTCTCCAAAAACAAAAATTGCATTTTGTAGTCAAATTTTAGGTTAAGTCCCACCTTAATCCTGAGTTGGATTACTGACCAAGCTTTGTTTCAGATTGTCAAGATCGGCCATGCGTTTTAATTTGAAGACCTGAGAACTACTAGATTTACGAGCCAGAATCTCAGAGTTCTTCACCCAGACGTACTGGAATTGATGTGTTGATTTCAATTTGTTTGTCTCGCTAAGAAGTTGCTGTAATCTCGGGATCAGGTGTTAATGAATTCGGATATTTCTCGTGTGAAAATCAGCAGATAAATCCAGATCATCAGGGTTTAAGTTGGAAGTTTCATTACGATGAGCCATGACTTCTTCTTTGGCCAGTCGTCTTATAAACTTGCACACAATAGGTCTTGGGTAATGGCGGTTAGCCCTTTGGCTATCAATAGGTTGAATTACAGTGACTTCTGAGAATTGTTCATTGGATTCTACAATATTAATTCGTAAATGAAAAGAATCTGCTACAGCTTGTATTACCATGTGATCAGCCCATGTTCCTTGCCTAAACATACTAGATAAATACTGTGACCATGGTCTATTTAAAACACTTTCTATGAATCGGTCTGGATTTTCTCTTAAGTAATGCACAGCTGTGTTTCTTATTGCTAAATGATGACTTGAATCACCATACAACTGATGTGATACAGATTTAAAAAGGCAGTCACCTCCTCCTGCCTACATCTAATGGTCTTAAACCAGGCGTAAGCATTCTATAATTCCACAAGAAAACTGTATTCTTATTACATACCAATATTGTGAGTTAATGTTATTTGCAACAGGACCTGGATTTAATTCTATATCCCCAGACAACAAAATAATTCTTTTGTTTATATTAAATGCTGTGGAACAACTTCTGCTCAGCTTAATTTTTTTAAAATACCTTCTGTAAAAACTATCTTGTCTGTGAATATATTTGATAGTCCACCGTTTTTAATTGCTAGTAATACTATGGACAATAGATGAAACAGGTGTAAGGTGTTTTTGTTTTTTTCTTAACTTCAATAGAGTACTAAAGTGTGACGTCACGCTTCCATGGCAACCAAATTTTCTGTTCTAAACAAAGTGTGTCAAGCGTAGCATAACAAGCGCGGCTTTTGACTCCTTTTCAGTTTTTTCGCCTTTATTTTCATAGCTTCCTTTATTGAGTGGACTGTAAGTTTTTTGTGTAACTTTTGATGACTTAGACGAAAATTTATTCGTTTGAAAGAAGATCTTAATTGTCAACTGAGCAGACAGAGAGCCGAAGTTAGAGGTGAAAGATTGTGATGGTTCACTGCTTTGCACTGGGCTGTGACCATCATTCCGAATCACATACTTGTAAATTCTATGAGTTTCAACATAAAATTAAGAAAAAGGAGGAGTACCAACGCTGGATTCGATTAATAAGGTAAGGTTAATTTATAGTTTGTTGTAGATCGTGTGTTATCAGTTGCGTGGCACTTTCGCGGCATTTTGCGGCATTTTGCTGTTTGGCTTGTGTTTTGAGCTGTGATGTCATTCAAGGACTAGTATCTCACAAAGTCTTTGCAATAGTATCTTAAATAATATCCTTACATTAGTTCTGGTGAAAAGGAAAACAGCTTTGATCAGTCGTTGACTCGCATGATATGCTTGAAAAATTCGGTAGACTCTAAATAAATACATTACCATGAGATGCATCCATTCATGCTTTAGTTGGAAACTGTTTACAGTTCATGACGAATGACTGCTTTCTCAAAAGAGGAAAAATATTTCCCTTGGCAGTTTGACGAGGAGTTTTATTTTCTAGTTCATTTTGGTGGGCGACATTGTTGCTGATTTAGAATAAACAACATTAAAGCACTCGTTTGTAATAGCTTTAGATGTCGCAGAGTGCTACTCTAAAATGACTAACTAGTACGACTTAGTGAGCTTATTTTGTTTATATAAACTTACAGAAGAAAAGACAGGAAACCAGGGAATCACTCCAGAATATGCAGTTGTCACTTCAGAGATGAGAAAAAGAGTGCTGAAATTTACACACGTAATGCTGACAAGTTGTTTCCATCAGAAAGATTACCTCGAAAAAGGAAAAAACAGAGCACTACACAGAGAACTAGTGTGCATGACATGGTGCAGGCCATTCGGGCCAAAGAAGAGGAGGCACTTCCTTTGCAAGAAAAACCTTAAACAAGTGGGATTATTCTTGAAGCCGAACTTGATCTTGCAAAGAGGGAACTTGAGCAGCAGAGAGAAGCTGCACAGTACCAGAGAACACATTATTCTGCATCAACTCTTACCAGAGATGTTCTTCATATGGAAACTGGACTACCAACAAAAGAGGTTTTCCAGATTGTAGTAAATTATGCCTCTAGATTTAAAGATTCTTTGTCATACTACGCAGGTTGGAGGGTGGAGTCAATAATTTTTGAAGATCAAATTTTAATCACCCTCATGAAACTGAGACAAAACTATACTAATCTCCACATAGCTCAGTTATTCTCTTGTAGTGTTGCTACCATTTCAAATGTAGTTACAACATTTGTTCATGTTTTACACAATATCTTATTTGATGATTTGATGACCACTGTGGTGTTTACGGCTGAATAACCACTGAGACGTTCGGTAGAAACACAACGATATTTTAATCAACCTGTGAGACGAAACCCGACTACAGAATAACTTCTCTTCATAAGGACCGCGTGTGCATTCCGAACATTATGATTGGCAGCTGTCAGAAACACTACATCTCTCCCCTTCTTGATTGTAAACTTGAATACATGTATGTCTGGAAAAGATCGACTTAAGCAACTGAACTCTAATGATTAAGAACGATAAACTGGAACGTGTTTAGCTTGTCACAAAGTTCAACTGCAAGCTTCGAGTGTCTGGTTCTATTGCACAAGTAGGACAAAGTCTTTCAGTTTTGCAGGGAGCCTTGTTTGCCTCTGAGATCGCCGCAAGGGTGTAATTGGGCTTGGAGAACTTGATGACTTGTCTTGTTCTGAAACTTCTGGTGGCCAAGGCTCTGCTTTTAGATCTTCGTCTGCCTGCCCTTGTGTTATCTTTTCAGCATGCCTTATGTGGTTCGGGACAACTTTGAACATGGATGAGTTCCGCGTGATAGTTTTATTCCCATTGCTTGCTGTAACCATAGATCCTTTCTTTTCTTCAACCACGAGAGGTATTGGACTGAACGGGGAGCTTAGCTTGTTGCGCTTTGGTTGCTTAATAAGGACTGTGTCTCCTAGCTTGATCTTGCTCTCTCTCACTCCTAACTTATGGTCTGCATATGCTTTCATCTTCAACTTCTGTTCTGCATCCCTATCTGTCATGCTCTTCTGTTTCTCAAGAACTGGTGGTGTCACTTCTGGTAGCGTAGTCTTGAGCTTCCTGTGGTTAAGTGCTTCGCACGGCGGCGAAATTTCAGTGGTCGAATGAGGTGTCCCCGATACTGTCGTAGAAACTTGTAGAGTTCTTGTTTCCAGCTCTTGTGCTCAATGGTAGCGGCTCTCACGCACTTCCCTAGTGTCTTCATGAAACGTTCCGCTTCGCCATTAGCTCTTGGCCAGAGAGGCGTGATTTTGCGGTGGTGAAAACCCAGATGCTCAGCAAAGTTCTTGAACTCCGCGCCATTGAAGGGGGGTCCGTTGTCACTCTTTAAGACATCAGGAATTCCTTGTCGAGCGAAGATTGAGTCAAGCTTCGGGATGGTGGATCTAGCAGAAGTGGATGTGACGATTTCAACTTCTGGGAAACGGCTGTACTCGTCTATGACGACCATGAGGTACTCTCCTGAAGGGAGTGGTCCAAGAAAGTCCATCGCAAGTTCTTTCCAGGGGGCGTTTGGTAGCGGTGTCATCTTTAGAGGTTCAAGTCGTTCTGCCTTACTAGTAGTTGTTGCTTGGCATGGTAAACAGCTGTCGACTTTTTCCTTAACCATCTTGTCTACACCAGGAAACCACACCTTCTCTCTGATGAGGCGTTTTGTTTTTACCATTCCTTGGTGTCCAACGTGTGCTAGGTCTACAGCTCTGCCTCTCAGTGCTTTTGGGACTACAATCCTGTTTCCTCTCAGTACAATTCCTTGGTAGGCCGACAGTTCGTCCTTCACATTTCTGTACTCCTGTACTTCGGGATGTGTCCAATTGTCAGTCTCGATGGCCTTGATAAGTGCTTGGAGCGAAACGTCCTTCTCCGACTCTAACTTGATTTCTTGCAGCGTCATTGCTTTTGGCACTGCCTGGTTGCATACATAGTTCACGTAGTCTTCTGCAATGCTGCTCTCCTTGCTTTCTATGTTACTTGGATGGTGGCTCATAAAATCGGCTGGATTCTCTGCGTCCTTGCCAGGTCGATAGGTGAGTTGGCAGTTGTAAGGCATGAGCCTCAGCTTCCATCTGTCGATGCGCGCTGACGTTGGCTTGTGACTGTTAAAGATACCTAGGAGTGGTTTGTGGTCTGTGACAATGGTGAACTCTGATCCATACAAATAAAGATGGAAATGTTCGACTGCCCAGACTACTCCTAGCATCTCCCTCTCCGTTTGAGAGTATCTGCTCTCGATGTCACTGAGTGCTCGGCTAGCGTAACTGATAACTTTACCATCCTGTACCAACAATCCTCCAAGTCCAACAGGGCTCGCGTCGACTATCACTTCACT